GAACAAAACCCGTTCAAGACACTACATATTGGATATTGTCGTCGTTGATTTTACGAAACGCGGAGAATTTTCCACGCATTTGCAGCATTTACCTTCATTCAATCTGCTCGCTTTCGTAACTCGATCGGCAGAGGTTTGTGTTTCCTCGTTCCCTTCGCTGATCGGGCGATTCCGTTTCTGATGGTGCTTCCGCAAGCTTACGTACGCGGAAACCTTCTCTGAGCGAGATCGTACTTTAAGTACTTGGCGTTATACTATTGGATGCCGAGCCGTCACGTTGAGCTTATATTAATTGAGCAAGAAACTGAATTAAAAGTTTGAAGCCGTGCGCGTACGTTCCAGATCTTAGCCGCGAAAACGAGCAGCGGCGTAAGAAAGCGTACAAATTGACTTATTACCATTAATTTCAAAGACAAAGCTCTATCATTGGAATTTTCTTAATCACTCTTTTACAATTAAATTATAGTGTCAATACTGAAAGAAAGAATTGAATAATGAGTATTTTCTTCTATGATTCGTCTAAACATCTACAGGCAGCTTTATCAGATGTTGATAAAAAATTTGTTCCAACAAAAATTTTATAGATTGTTTCATTTATATTTTGTTTTCCCCCCCAATGTTGAAAAGCAGTATTGATTTTTACTTCATGAAACAGTGTAGTTGTTCGAAAAATATATCTTGTTGCTCAAAATAATTAGGGAGCTCGATTTTCTAAGACAACTCGCATCTTGCACTTCTTGTAAACGTTTGAAGGAACGGAAAGGAGGAGTGCTTGCTTCAAAATCGCGTTTTAAAAAGTTTCTGCCCATCTTAAATTTCACTATCTTAAATTTCATATTAAATTTCAGTTAATCAAAACGATTGTAAACAGACTATTGCAGCGTAACGCTGAGTCGGATCGATACGTCCAACAGTTGTCTCGACGTTATTGGATTTCCCGGCGAGAACAGTGAGAAGCGGCAACTTAACTTGGCAGCATCTCGAAGCAAACTTTAAACAAGCCTGACTTTGTTTCGTTCGCACGTCGCGAATGAACGAATGTATTTGAAGGAAAATTTCGAGCGAAAGATCGTTTTTTATCCACGCGGCTGGTATTTGTTTTATAACCACGCGAGATTATATCTTTCTGTCGTAAACATCCGGAAGATTCGTTAAACCGGAAATTTGTCTATTTAAATGCGTTCTCTCTAGTGTCCCTAACTGTCTGTTATTTGATGCCGACCGATCGGATACAGTGAGAATCTTATTCTTTAATTTCCGAAGAACATAATATGGAAAAAATCCCTTTCGAAGAGAAATGTATCAATAGATACAAAAATATATCGATAGCGTTATTATTTCATGACACAATGTATATCGCCGATAAATACATAACTATCGCAATACATGAATCGATGAATTATGATTTTATGAATAAACAAAATTAGATGTACCATGCTTCAAACTCAATTGCAAATGACGAATGTACTCTAATGGGTCGGTTCGTGATTAAAAAAAAGGAAACGTATTCTCCGACGAGAGTTCGTTTTACGACATTACATCAGCTTCATGCACTTTCCTGTAATTAATTGAAATTTTCATGCTCAGCCATTCTGGCCAAACTTACCGCTTTAACATCGCAGAAGTAGATCTTATTGAAAATCGGATATTTTACCTCGTGAGAAATATTGTAAATTGATGCGCGCCATACGTAAAATAATTACTTTCAGACTCTAATTGGGCGTCAAAAATCCGACATAATGTGTTTTTCCGTTGCGTACCGTTACGGTATTCATACACGATATTCACAAATTTGCTTTTCGAATAAAATAAATAAAGAAAAAGTTATTGAAAAAAGAATTTTACCAAAGAATCGCGTGACAAACGATTAAACTTTCATAAACCCGACAAATAATATCTACGTCGTAGAAAGTTTCCTCGATGCTCTTTACTCGTTATTAAATCGATTAATTACGCAAGCACACGTGATATTTAACAGCACCCCCTTTAGATCCTCTCATTCTTTGCAATATATATTTTCCCTAACGCAACGACTGATCATGTCACGGCGATAAATCATGGCGTTTGTTTACGCAATGACGCGATCTTGACGTCAACGTATCGAAAAGGATTATTGGCTATAGAGTCGTATCTGCCAATAGGAAAAATCTTTGTGATCGTGACAAGTGGAATGTCGGATCGCGAATTACCATGAGGTGTTCCTCGCGTTAACTCAGTTCATATGGAGGCGTTTAATTCCAATTGGCCGACATGTCGAAGAGGATGAACAGTTCGTGCAAAAAAGCGGCTAAAGTAACCGACCTGGTAACGAAGCGCAAAATGATCGACTTGTTTCAACTCGAGCTGAAAAAGCGCGTCACATCGCACGCGATTTTGATTAAAATGAATGAATGAATGAAAATTTGGCCTAAGTGGCTTTAGCCCTAATATCTCCTAATGAGACACGACAGTTCGTCCGGCGGGTGCTTTACCTTGTCCCTTTACTCGTGCGTATCATCATTTCACATTAATCCGCTCGCGTCACATGCGACGAAGAGGCGATGCCCGAGAAAGTCGTATGCATCCTCCTCTCGGACATCATCCGTCATCGTTTCCTTCTCTCGCACCGCCGCTGACTATCTCGTATCTCTCGCCTACGCAACCTACAGCACTTTCCGCCCGGCACTTTCCCTCCGTCCAAACACGAGTGTAACTCGAAGAGAGAGACAATATCGCCGGTACGATGATGCACTCGACTCGCTCTCCTGAATTTTCGTGTATTGCAGCGCTTTTCCCGGATGTCTATTAAGTTAGCCCCCCCCCACCCCCCACCATGGAAAATAAAGTTAAAATACACATCAAAATTAAGTGCTAATTAGATGCTAATTTAGTGCAACAAAGAAAAATTTAGTGCTCCAGCGGTTTGGCGGGAAATAAAAAAAATATTGGGGGAGAGAGGGCTAGCTTAACGATAACCTAGCCGTCCCCAAACTTAAAAAATATTTAAACAAAAGGAAAATCGAAAAAACAAGTAGGCTAAATTAAGTGCTAATTAAGTGCTCCAAGAATATAAAAATAAATATCATAAAAACCAAACCGTTTATTAGTTAGAAAATAAAAAAGGATTGAGCCATTATGATCCAAGTGCAAGAAAACTTAAAAAATTAGGTGCACGCTCGATGTTGGTGTCAAATTGTTCGTCTTTTTGTATACATTCCAGATATCTAATCGCCGAATTTAGTGCTCTACCTAATTAGTACTTAATTTTAACCTACTTGTTTTTTTCGATTTTCTTTTTGTTTATATGTTTTTTTTTATGTTTGGAGGGCTAGATTATCGTTAAACTGCCCCCTCCCCCCAATATTTTTTTTATTTCGCGCCAAACCGCTGGAGCACCAAATTTTTCTTTGTAGCATTAAATTAGCACCTAATTAGCATTTAATTTTTATGTAAATTTTAACTTTATTTTCCATGGTGGGGGAGGCTATTTTAATAGACATTTCTCCCGGGGATATCGTCCGAATGGTGGTCTGGCTACTACATGTCTCTGACAGACAAAAATTAAAAAGCACATTTTGAGAGGCGAATTCTGAATCTAACGCGAACATCATTTTTGTACACACGAGTGAACACGAATTCGTTGCCCAAATCCGTTGGCTGTCAATTTTGAGCAAAAATGACATCAAATAAAACATCTTATATTACATGGGGCTATCTTTAAATTGCTATAAAATTGTTCGAAAATGAGACAACATGTATTTTAAGGATAAAAGTTGATACTGTTTAATTTGGAAAAAAAGTTTGCTACTCCGTCGTGAAAATCGTCGTTTTTTATCAATCTGAAGCTATTTTTCTCCAAATTGTGACGTGACAACCAAATTTGGACAACGGATTCGGCGGGCACAAATAAATTGGAAATGACTATTCGTGTTACAGAAAACAAGGTCAAATTTTATCGGACGATGTTATTCATCTCCTCTTGTTACAAAATAAAGTTTGTCTCCAACGTGCGTTTGATTAAATAATTAAATTGTATCCGCGCGGAATAAAAATGTATTTTTTTGGCTTTTCGTATTATTGCCTTCCCGACGTGTGAAGGCAATAAACGATAAGGTGAAGGAGCAAATAAGATAAAACGTTTAATTTTAATAAAGTAAGATAAATCGCATAAAAGAAGCGAAAGCATAAATTTTCTTCTGCTTTTGTTTGAGAAATTTTCACTTCAAAACGAGATAGTCCAACATGATAGTACAGTTCGCTTTATGAATGAAATATCATTCTAACAACAGTCGAGGGTCAATATTGAGACGCAAAAGCGGGTAATTAGGATGCAGAGTTAAAGCGCATTCGGTCGTATTCACGGCAAGTGGCTGTTCCGGCAACATGGATGAACAGAGCGGCGTACTTTAGCGTGCTTCAGCGTGCTTCACCGTGCTCCGAGAAGCTGCCAATAATTAACATATATTCGCATGCTCCTTAACCGTGACGGGGGCGCGACCGGCCGCGTCAGTTTCACGAAGAAGGATTAGCATCATAAAGAAGAGAAACACCGACTAAGATTAACCGACGGTCGCGTTTCACGCGCGCGTGCATACGTGCGAACACGCGAGAGGAGGACTCAGCGGGTTTTCACGCTTCCGCCGTTCGATTTAATTTTCCCGTTACATCATACAGTGATCGCACCTCGATTAATGGTGTTTTCATTCTCTCGGACACTTTGATTGGCTCTGAGTGAATTTCTACCGTATAATCATTTTTTCGATCATTTCTTTTCAGAAAGATACGACAAATTCAAAATACGTATTTTTCAAAATGGATAAATTCGTTCATAACCAAAAGTTTGCCTCCTTTTGCTCTTTGTTTTGCAGCGAACCAATGTGTATGCTCGAGCGATCAATAGTGATGTATGTGGATATAATTAAATTGCGCGTGCTAATTACGTGGTACGTTTTGTATTATCCACGTAAATGATGAAGGGGGATTAAATTGATGAGATTTTCTATGACACTGTAATTTCGCAGAGATTATGGCGAAGCGGCGAAGCGACGGAGGTCGTAGGACCGGTGCGAGTAGTTCACCGATACGTCAACATGCCGGAGCAGAGTGCGGAATTCTACAACGGGAGCACGGGTCAGACAGAGAAGGTAAACAAAAGTGTTGAGCCGCGTGACGAGATCTATCGGCGACTTTTCCACAGGTTCACGGCTGCGTGCCAGCAATGGGCTACAGCTTCGCAGCCGGCACCACCGACGGACCCGGTTCCTTCGCTTTCGAGCAAGGCACAACAACGCCGAATCCTCTTTGGAATGCCGTGCGCAACTTGGTGGCCGTGCCAACGGCGGAGGATATCCGTTGTCACGGCGCGAAGCCCATCCTGTTGGCCACCGGCCGGGTAAGTCGTCGTTGAAACCGGCGCCAAGGATGGTTATTCCATTATGCGCGTCTGTGTCGTTAGTATGCAATTAGATGTACGATTAGTGAGATTTCACCGTACGTAGATAGGTGTTAGATCCTTCTCACGGATATCCCGGCCGAGAAGAAATACTGACAATAAGATTCGACGTAAATCATCGCGTCTTGATAAGTAGCCGATTAGTATAGAAAAATGGAAGGTAGTGCGCGAGTGACGTAATTAAATGTTAAAATTGCTTCTTTCCCCCTCCCTTCCTCCGCAGATCAAACTCCCTTATCAGTGGCAGCCAAAGATCGTCTCGACCCAAGTGGCCGTAATCGGGAACGTCGTTGTCGCCGGTGTGCCCGGTGAATTCACGACAATGTCCGGAAGAAGATTGCGAGAGGCCATCGAGAAAGTCATGAGCGACTCGTCCAACGGCGAAACTTCCGTAATAGTCGCCGGACTCTGCAATACTTATAGCGATTACATAAGCACTCCCGAAGAGTATCAAGTACGTAAACTGTTTGGCCGTCATTACCACAGCGAGCGTTCCATGAACTCTCGCCGAAAAAACCGGCGCGCGGAAAGGAAATTGAACGAATTATATCAACTTTCAGGTACAGAGGTACGAGGCCGCATCAACGATATATGGCCCGCACACGCTCACAATCTACTTGAAGCAATACCAAGAGTTAGTACAAGCGGCCATTGACGTGAGTAAATAACACGATACCAGGCGAGTGAAAGGAAGACAATTATAAATAAAATCTTGGAAGAATGACATTTTTCCGGAAATGTTCATTCTTCGACTCGACCGTTTCGCGCATATCGGGAGGAACAACCGCGAGAAATTTCTTTTACATTAAAAATCATCCATCGTATCGGAACACAACAATGAGGTTGCAATGTCGCATGACAGGGAAAGGAGCTTCCGCCAGGGCCGCAGCCGCCGCAGCTCCTGCACAGCAATCTGATTAGTCTTGTACCACCTGTGCTCTACGACACCCCGAAATGGGGGCGCAACTTTGGCGATGTTATCCAGCAGCCGCGACAAGCTGTGTGGCCCGGTGACACGGTTACCGCGATCTTTGTAAGTTCATTCTTGGAGAACAAATTTTATCCCAAATACAAACCACCTGAGTGAGTGAACATTGCGTCTCGCATTGTGTTGTAAGGCTATTACGTAAAACGCGGACGTAATTGAATTGCTCAAATAAAGTTGACTCGCTTGTGCAAACCGTCATTCCATTTGAGGATAACAGCGAGCCATTGAACGATGGTACACTGCCGAATGGAGCGATTGCTATGCGATTGCTATGCGACCCCGTGCGCGGCTCTCTGTAAACACCGCGGTAATGAAAACCTTTCGGGATGACTGTCGTCATCAGCATTGCTCTCGATCGTGCACTTGATCGTATTTTCGCGCCGAAAAGCACAATCTCTCGACAAATCATCGCGATTTCGGCCGAATGTACGCGAAACGATATTAATTAAGTCGTTACTCTTGCGTTCAAACCCACGTGCCTATTAATAATTTAATTGCCTTTGCCAATTACTAATAATTATTAGTTGTATCATTTCTACATTGAAATATTCATTATAATAAATAATTGTCCATTGCAATACATTGTAAACGTTCCCCAGTGAGGTAATTACAATTAATTCAGAACCAACACACGTCCCTTGATAAGATACGTTTATCTAATCCGCGAGATGAGAGATGAGGAAGGTAAGACGCGAACGTCGATAGGATTTCCCTTTCTCCCAATTCTTGGTCAAGATGTCACGTAATCATATTACTCGTCGTAATTTCTTTCGTTAAATTCCTGTTCAATGATATTAATTTTCCGGTGATGTAGTTTTTCAGCAGAGGGGCAACTTAAAAGCAATTAGAGGTCAATCAACAATTATATCACGCCACGAAGAAGAGAGTCTATTAGTGACGACTGTGATGGGAGGGGGAGTAAAGGCAGCGTCACATTAGGCCCTCGGCACACGTGCTTATTTTCATGCTAAAGAGATTTAGTAATATGAAATAGAAGGGAAGTCGACATAATATTGAAAGGCGATCCTTTGTGACAAAATTAAGGGATAAAATACACTTAAATTTCTTTAATACGGGATAACATAATACAATGTCGTAACGCAAAGTAATAATAAACGACGATTCCTGTAAACGACCTAATGTTTCGAAAAGCAAAGAGCGAAATGGCCATCGCGCGAATTTGACGGTATTATGATTACGTGACATTTTGCCAAGAATTGGGACAAAGGGAAATCCTATCGACGTTCGCGTCTTGCCTTCCTCATCTCTCACCTCGCGGATTAGATTAACGTATCTTATCTTAAAGGACGTGTGTTGATTCTGAATTAATTCGGGTAGCTCTCAATGCTGAATGCAAATTACGCTCGCTTAATTATTATCCCAGTGAGAGCTGGTATGAGGAGTATTCGCTCAGAAATAATTACACCATACATCGTACTTGTACACGCATCGAGAGTGGTTGATTACTCGAGCGGATTCGAACTGAGAAACGTTTAGCGAGAGACGCCACATTTTCCAAGTGACGCCTACATTACCATCGATTTGATGAATGAATGGGAGAACGAGTCGATCTTACGCCGACGGAAATGGTCGTTCGGCGCTAATCGTGGTGCGCCGTTTTTATCGCGATCGAGTCACGCGATAAAGAGACGTTTTCCCGTGCGCTCGCGTAACGCTCGGAAAATAGCTTGCCTTCGGATGCGAACGGATTAAGTAATCGTAAATTGCCCTTTGGCTATAATTTCCGGCGACGGATGTGCGAGATGCATCGTGAAAGCAGGCGTGAATGATTGATAGAACCCGTCAGTTCGCAACTTTTCCCATCGACTCGGTCCTTCGGGAAAACTTGACTCGCCCGCGAAGGCTGCTTCCGCTCTATCAAGTATCCCACTTTTCTTCTATTCTGCTCCGAGAATAACACGAGGGATGGAAATGAGATTCAAAGATCCATAAATGCCGTTCAATGCGGGGGGTTAAATCACACACAAATGATATTTCTCTAACGAAGCGAGGAAATGATTACGCCGCGTTGATTACATACACGTTCATTATGTCGCAGGTCGCCGGTCATCCCCGGAATAATTTAATGACTGATAATACGTTTCTGACCGTGGAGCGACTGGGAGACGATGAAGTTTGGATACCGATTGCTACAGACGCCGATTGGGAGACAAAGTACGTATATATATATTTTTTTTGTGTATACTATTGCATAGCGTAAAAATCATTCGTGTATATATGAAGTATATAATCATTCGTAAGGAGAAAAATATGGTATAAATTTAGAATTTTGTTGTTGTATACTGAGAAAAAAATATTGAAAAATTTCTTTGTGGGATATAAGGTTCACAGAAATAAGATTTATTTTTGCGAAATTCTCACGTATATCCCACAAATAAATTTTTAAGTATTTTCTTGTCAGTGTAGTAAAACGTCCGATAAAATTGCAATAATGATAAAATTTAATTGGCACAACCAAATTATTTTCAAGTCTATATATATATATCCAGCAAATAACATTTAATCCTCTTAACAAATCTTTTCACCATACTAACTGACAAATTTGTTGTGCCAGTAAAATATTTTTCTCCGTACGATGTAGGTTAATGCAACAAATCGTGTGATATATACGTGCGTTTAGATTTCAATGGACGAGAAACTCTGTAATATTGGGATCCAGTCAAGTGACCGTTACATGGGAAATCCCGCAGGACGCAAAACCAGGCGAATATCGCATCAGACATAATGGTTATTATCGTTACATCCTCGGTGGTGTGTATCCTTACTACGGCACCAGCAATTCTTTCCAAGTGAGTTTGCGTGTATGCATAAATACAATATATATTTATTCACACCATTCAAATGCATTAAATATATAGGGTGGATCGCTTGAAATTGCTATATAAACGTCAGCTTCAGTTTTTATTTTAATGGAATCATATAGTTTTGTTAACACAAATTGATTCCTCTGTTCATTCTGTGTATAAAAAGTATTAAGGCAAGATCATCGAAGAGTGAATATTTTTCGAGACTTTATTCTGATATTATTCTGATATTTTTCAGCACAAAATATGAAATAAGGTATTCACTTTCACACATTTTAGTATTTTATATTTTACTAGAGAAAATGTTCGAACGTACCACCAGCACACAACATTTCTTTATGTTTCTTATTCAGACAAAATCAAAGTGATGAATAGTTGTATGTATAGTTCCATGACACACTCTATATAGCAATAATAATACAAGGTCAAACGTATAATTACGACGGTTACAGGTGGAAGTTCCTGTATATCAGAATATCCGTAGACATCGTTACTATGGATGACCAGCTGGTGCCGCCCTCGTGCTTTGTTAGTCGATAAGGAAATCATTACGCTTAATTGGACGGATTCGCTGTATAATCGATGTAAATAAGTATCCCATCAAACGAAAAGAAACGTTTAAACACTCTGTCATGAAGGCTTTCGCAAATCCTTATGTACAGGGTGTTACATCGACGATATTCAGCAATATGCCGAGTTGTCGCTGGTAAGAGCACGCATGAGAGAAATCGGCCCGAGTTTGTGCGTAGCTTTACCAGCGGCAACCCATCATACTACTCAATATGTTGATGCAATATATCCGTACAATAGAGTGCGTGCTCTTTCTCTCCTCGCATAAATATATTCTCTCGGATCTAACGACGTTACTGTCATAACTGTCAAAGTTTACGTATAAGTTAAAATATTGATTTCGAAGCTTCGTTCAGAGCGAAAATATTGAAATATTGACCTGTTTGGCGATAAAAGTACTGAGATCGTATAAAAATATGTGTTGCATTTACATACGAAACGCCGAGTTGCAGGGGCACGCGTGAGAGAATGAGAGCGTTGTAATACATTAATCATCGCAAATGTCAATTCAGTAGTGATTACTGAGACGCTTTTGTATTTTCAGCGGAAAAAATATATTGAACGTAATATCTTTAATTAACAACTTCAAATGTGAACATAAAGAATATGCATCTGATTGTGAAATTGCAATCGAAGTATGTAACGGGGTTTCTATAAGGATATATCCAACTGTGCGCGAATATACGTTAATTGGATATTGTAGGTAACGAAACTGCGGTTTAGCGACGTCCCCAATTACGATCGACACATACGACAATTACGAAACTTATAATTCATACGAAAGGATATCGATAGAGTATATTATTCTCTTAGTCGAGATATGCATTTACCGATGGAATTAAACTTTCGAATCACATTAATCAATAATTTCAAAGAAGTGTTATCGCTGATTGCTTTTCCGTCCACGATACTTAGAGCGTCAGAGAGAGCGTCAGAGAGAGAGAGAGAGAGAGAGAGGGAGAGAGAGAGAAAGAGAGAGAGAGCGAGCAAAACGTTTCCGATGCAGGAAAGAATAGCATTTTTTTCGGATATCATAATGTGACATGCAAATGCCTGGAGGCGTAGAACGCAATATCATCGAGATAAATCTCTATCGCGCGAGACAGCCATGCGTTACGCGAGTCAGAATTTTTACGCCACATTTAAATATTTAATATATCTTTTAATATATTATCTATTTAATATATCTTTTCAAAGCCAATTTTCATGCGAACAAAATATTGTCGCGATTCTACTGCGATTCTACACAGAATTCCATACGTAACCAAGACGTAATTAGTCTCATATTTGTATAGTAATTGTAATCATATGACGGAAACATAAATTGGAATAGCATATATAAATATTAAATTATCGATGAAAGTTTCTATATTCTCTGCTACATAATCCGTTCTATTTTTTTATTCATTTAAATCAAAATCACGCTTTTAATTGTGGATCAGTTTTTAGCTCAACAGAAAGGTGATCCATGTTTCAGTGCAGTGTCTCAAATTGATCTATAATATAGAGAGAAAACATTCTCCTATTAGAAATGGAACGCATTCCAGTGCAATGATTCTTCTAGGCGAAAATGTGCGGCGAATTGTTTAATGGTGTCCGAGGCTCGACAAGCAATGTTACGTTCCGTTTTAGTCTACCGCGCGAAGTCCGAGGTGCAAAAATACCGCAAAATATTAGGCATCGACGTTCCGAAGCAATTGAAAGAAATGCAGCCTTTTAACCCTTTGGGTACATTTGACGAGTGAGACTCGTCATCTGCTTACTTGGGCATAAAATGTATTACTTTTACATATTAATCCATATAGCGACAAATTAAATCCGTCCCATGGGCATAAAAATCTTCAAATAATTCAGTACTCAAAGGGTTAAAAACATCCGTGTCTCAGTGAAAAATTGACGTACAAAGGTGAAATAAACATATTTTTTGATGTTTCACGTATGACACGCGTTTACATGCACGATCGCGAAATGTGGCATATACGCGATATATCGTTGTACATAGAATATATTTAAATGCAAAAAATAAACAGTCTCGCTCATATTGACTTGAAAAATCCGTCATTTTTCCCAAATGGTATACGCGTTATTTCGAGACCATATAACATATTATTTGAGCGACATGAAGTGATACACAAGAGAAATTCTTTCTAGACTAATGTATAGATGCCGATTCTTGGCCAGATATATAGCTACACGCTCATACAAGAACTGTAATTTAATCCCGATTGTAAAAACCTGTATAAAAAAGAAAATTTACACAATTGATATTTTTTAATTAACTTCGGATAATAAAAGTATATTTAGCAAACACGAGTGTAACACAAACCGAACAAATGCTATAAAGTATATTTAGCAAACACGAGTGTAACACAAGCCGAACAAATGCTATAGATACACGACGCTTATAAATACAAAATATCAGTGAATGCGGAAGTGGTACTTGAAGCGATTCCCGAACGCGTGTCGTAATCACACACCGTATTTCCCTCATTTCGGGGATTTATGAATAATCGAGAAATGCGATGTATCGAATATATTCCATCAAGCGTGGCTTTAGCTCGGACCACAATCTTCCGAAATTCGATTAGCTTCTCCCTTCATTTGCTCCCAACTCAATTTACATATTCTCCTTTCAACGCGAAATATTATCCATTTGTAATATAATGGTATTGCGCACGCGCGCATTGCGAGGTAAATGGATCTGGCAGGTATCGTGCTTTCAGGGCAAGATTTCCAAGTATCAATTACACCCCGAGTAAGTAATATAAAATCAAAGTCCACACTGAGAGAGAAATCCTTCGGTTATCACAACAAAAACTCATATATTTTATGATTTATTTGATGATCTGGTAGGAAAATGATGTATTGCAAATCATCCTCGTCGTTCGTTATTTTAACAAATCATTTGCGTTCCAAATCACGTTTGTTCTTTTCCCGCTGCGACAAGTTTATAAGTGTAGACCTAATTTAAATCAGTGCTGCCAGATCGTGGAGGCTTCTACTATTTTATCCGAAGAAACAATACAAGCATTAACAAATAAATGCTCACTGTCTGTTGTCCGATCATCGAAGTCAAATGACGACGTATTACTAGGAACGAATCGAATCTACGTAGAGACACGAAAAGAAACGTATGAAGTGTGAAACAGCGGTTACAGACAATCGGAAAGCTCAAATTAAGATGAATATATATTTCAATGTAATAGTAATGTTGCCATTTTTTCACTTAAATAGTAACGTTGTCATTTGCAAACATCGCTAGCAATCTAACTGATTGTTACAAATAATTGGTTGGAATAGAAATATCATCTTGGATAGCAAATTAACACGTTGACTGCCACGTCACCCAAATCTGGATAACGGCCATCTTTCCGTGGAGGCCCCATCATCCGATTTCGGGTGACGCTTTTCTTCGTCCAATTTAGCAGGATTTTACAAGTAACTTGCAATAATTTGTAACACAAGTATATTATAATAATAACATATATAAACACATATATAAATGAATAAAACATTATCTTAACAGGCTGTCATACCCTCAGGCAAACGAAAATATTCTTATATTATTTTATTTTTTGGTGATATTCTCCAAAACAAAATAATTCACGTTACGCTGGAAAAACAAACAGATTAATTATAAACAGGTATATTGGTAATGCGTTACACTGCGGTTCAGCGTGAATTTGGACCCCGGGAGAAACACACCCGATTTACGCTGGGCGATCAATGTGTTAAGAGTAATAAATCACATTTGTTCCCAGATTCATTTGTCGTATCAATAAACGAAATTTCTTACAGACAAAACTTTTCTTCCAGTGGGCACCTAAATAATCAGTTGATTATTCGCCTGATATTCCCGAGATGTGTATCAATCTCCCGTAAGATATATCTCGTGCGTCAGATGCGATTGATGATGCATTCAACAATGTATTCGGGTAGCATCGGGTAGTGTAAACAATGCCGAACGGGAGTCTCGGTACGCTTGCAAATAATGTACGTTGGTTAACTGAAACCGTGGTAAACGACCGAAACCTGACGATGACTGGAACCTACCGTCGGCGAAAGAGACTTTCATTAACTGGCAGCGATAAGAACAAAGGAAGCGAAAGAGGATGCGATATAGATCATAAAGGGGGATCGCGGGACGGCGACATCTCCCGAGGTCGCGGCGATCCGAATTATCGCTGTCGAAGAGCACAGGTCGCTTTGCGATGTTATTATCGTCCCCTGCGTGCAAAAAACGATAACCCTGTGCAAATTATGTCGCGAGAGAGCGACGTTCGATAATCCGATATTATCTGCAAATTAATCTACGAGGGTAAGTGTATCGCATATTCGATATGACGGTGAGGTAGCGCTTCGTTTGAGCGAGCGATTCGATTTTGTTTTCGCCTCACAGCTTACGTTCTCTCATCTACGTTCGAAGCTTTCCGAATATAACTCGTCGTAAGCTCGATGAAGCTTCGGAGGCTATCTCTTTCTCTCTTAGCGCTTTTATATGCACAACAACGGAAGTGCACGCGATTGCAAAGTGTGTCGTTTCTTTCTTTTGCCGTTAGATATAATTGCTCTCTCTGTAATATTACAAACAGCCGCGCGTCATTAATGCGTAAATTGTTTTTAAATAATCTCGCGCACTGATGTCTTTCGCACGATGACTTCCCTCGGCGGCAATCGATTTACATCTACATGCACTATATAAAGTGACACTGTCAGCATTCAAATTGCACCATTCTCACCATTACGGTATGATATCCAGTTGTCGGCTCATGTCGGCACTTTACTTCACCGCAATCGCGAATTAAAATGGAGAAAATTGCGAATTGAAGATCACAACCGAGACAACATAACGTCTAAATGGAAAATTTTATATTTTGATTTTAGACATTGTCTGGGGACGGTTTTGATAAGCCGAGAAATAGAAAAGGAAGGTATTCGCGGACGATTTTGTATTTTGAGAAATCAAGTCCTTCGTTTGAGAGAATTTACATTTTTAATTTCAACTTTAAACTCTGTAATTTTAATTTCGACCGAAAATTAACGTTATAACCCGCCACGAAGAAAAAAATGAAAAATTTACAATTATGACACGACTAAAAAATTGATCGCGGTTAAAGTAACAGCAAATTCCACGCGTGGTGGCGCAGTTTTAACGGCACAAACACATACAGTGCAGTACAAAACTGTATCCTGAAAGTGTTTACGACTATAATATTGCATAATAATTACAATCGGTTTTTGTAGCAAGTGACGCATCCTCGGCAATAATCTTATGTAGTAGTACTTTTTCGTGTGTCAGAAGAAGAAAGAAATATGATTAACGCCAAAAATGACTATAATTTGATCAACCATTTCTTTGTTTATCTCAGTATACGTGTAAAGATCTATTCTTCAAGTTAGGTAAATCGCATTGATTTCTTATAAATACTAACTACTAAAAGATCCGCCATCTTAAATCTTTCGTGTTTGACTCACACACTCGAAATAGCGGGAGCTGAAGATCGGCCACAGCTACGATTCTGAAGGCAAACAAATATAGCCGATTAGATACAAGAGCAAATAACGATTCAATAAAAAGAAATATGCGTGGGTACGAGAGATTAATCTTTTGAGCAACTTGACAATTCTTCATGTTTGTCCACAAACGTGTTCCAACTATCGGTCGCAAAGGGTTAAATGCAAAAATACGGCAAGTCTATAAACCTATCTACCTTTTCGAGCCTGTTCTCGAACCGGATCCTCCGGTATTCATCGCACCCACTGTGTGGTCACAAGCTCCGTTTCGTCTGAAATAAAAAGTGAGTTTTCTGGTTAGTTATATAGACGACATTTAAGCTCGGATTAATGACAGTATATTTATCTCTTAAAACGATTAAAACAATCATGATGATTCCACCAACAAGATTTGAGGATGCTGTCACTGTGCAAAACAATCAGAATAATTACGCGTGCGAAATAATATCCCACGCACATTTGGATCGATTTGGATCGACTTGGAACAATAGGAATTATGTGCGACGTCTCTGTTTACCCTCGCGCGTCAAGTTATGATCGCTCGGTAATAGATACGTACAATATTATTGCCGTGACTTTTAGCCGGCGCTCTCGAGAGCATATCGTAATATATTTGTTATTTTGACACTTTTAAATATTGTATTATTAATATCATACGCATAATGTGAAAATACTTTTTGTTGACCATGAAAAATACACAATTCTTTCGCGATGATCATCCAAGTAACGATTCATATTGAACGATATACCAGTTTATTATTTTAATGTGTACCCTGTTTTCCAACGCACGCAATAAAGGAAATCGAGAGGGATAAGCCAAGTTTTTAATAAGTTACGAAGAAAACAATGAAAAGCGCCGATTAAAATATAGGTGATAAGTAAGTCTGGAAATGAATCGGCATGCACTAATTGCATCTAGTAAAGAGTGTTCCTAAAAGAGCAAGCGACACAAGAGACGTATATTATTCTCTTCTAATCTAGGAGTCTCTCTCTTGTCTACATTTATTTATTTATTTTCAAAGATCTATGCTTTTGCGCAAAAGTAGCCGACGATCATAGATACGTTGATGGTAGCCAAGAATCATAGCTACGAGACCAGAATTGAAACGAATCGCGTAAACGGCCAGCGATATCTTGTCGTTTAAATTGACTGCCGAATTAACGAGTACCTGTAATTTAACGGCGAGCCGTCGTGAAAAGAAACTTGTAACGCGAGAAGACTCGCGAATATCTCCTCTACAGTCGCTGAATAAATGTATAGATATAATCCAATTTAGCGGTACATCCGTGGAATTTTTGGGCCGTGAATAAATGTCGCCATAAAAAATGAACACGACATGGAAGGTGATCTAGCTCGTTATTCGTATCAGGAGGGAGGCGGGAAGGAGGAAAAAAGGGCGATGCAAAATCCTGGAATTCCCTGTCAGAGAACTCGGGAACGAGTCCGGTGAGCGGTGGCGCCGAACCTACCGGATAGCGTCGTTCAGCGCGTCGCGATTCAGTCGCGATTCGGCCAGCGTCGGTGGCGGTTCGTCGTCACGACTTTTTGCGCGAAGCTGAAGAAAGGAAATCGCGGGACAGATCGAGGAAGACGCATCACGTGTTCTCTCCGTGCGCAGTATATTATCCGTTCGCACGTGATCCGCGGAAGAGATGGCCGAGATGATTATTGACTAGAGCGCACGATGGCACTCTTCAACGACACCTATTCGGAGCCTTCGTATCGGGACTCTCTGTACATAGTGATACCGGTCACCGTCATGTACGCTTCGATCTTCCTCACCGGTATCATCGGCAACGTCAGCACGTGCATCGTGATCGCGCGCAACAAGTCTATGCACACCGCCACCAACTACTATCTCTTCAGTCTGGCCGTGTCGGACCTGTTGCTGCTGGTGTCGGGTCTACCAGCGGAGATGTACCTGGTCTGGTGCAAGTATCCGTATATCTTCGGCGAGGGCTTCTGCGTCCTGCGCGGCCTCGCTTCGGAGACGTCGGCAAACGCCTCGGTACTCACCATCGCGGCCTTCACCGTGGAGAGATACGTCGCGATCTGCCACCCGTTCCTCTCACAGACTCTCTCGAAGCTGTCGCGCGCCATCAAGCTGATCCTCGTGATATGGCTGGTGGCCCTGTCGTTCGCGTTACCGCAAGCCCTGCAGTTTGGTGTGGTGCGGCACACCGGCAATCCCGACATGGTAATGTGCACGGTCAAGAGGATCATCATCAGCCACTCGTTCGAGCTCTCGACATTTCTGTTTTTCGTCATGCCAATGTGCCTGATCACGGTACTCTACGCGCTCATCGGCCTCAAGCTCAGAAAGTCGAACATGATGAAGAACGTCAGAGTCGAGTCGACGCGCAGGCATCATCCCGGTAGATCGTCCAGGAGGGTGCTGAAGATGCTGGGTGAGTCGAATGAGATTCTCCGCCATTTTGCACCAGGAGAGACCGTTTACGAGCCAGCGATATTCCTTCGGGAGCTAAATTTTGACACCGTCTCTTCAAACTAACCAACTTTCCCTTTATTTACCATATTTTGGTGGACTTAATTCTCGATTGATTGAGACACATGTGGCTTTGAATGGAATTCAAAGCTAGTTCCTTTTAACGCAAGTGTTCTCTTTTTTCGCCGTCGACCACTTCGCTGCCATGAACCACTAATAGCGGAAAAGAATGAAACAACCGTCGCGTTGTCTTCGCGGTGAAAATAATGCGAATAATTAGGATATAACACGCAAGAAGCAAATTGTCTTTTCCAAAGACACTGATCCCCCTCTCGTCGTAATCCTTTGCAGACATCCTTGACGAGTCTTCCGTATAATTTATTCGACGAGATGCAAGAAAGCAAACAACAAACACGGTTATATATCTACATTGTTGTACATCCCCTTGAACCTTATCATTGAGCGTAAATATAATGGCGTTTATCAGCCGATCGTAGATGATGAGTCCGTTAAATGCGGGTGACTCGCAATTATCGAGCGAAGACGCGCGCTGGGCGACACACAATTACTTGCTTGGTCGATACAACATCGTCAAAAGTCAATTGACTCGTCGTACAGGAAAGAGAAGAATCACATATTTTTTTCCGATACAAATTGACGATTACGTTAAACGCAAGTTGAATTAGGAGCGTGTAAATGAAATCTAATTAAACGCCGAGCGACGGTCGTATATTATACCTACATCGAACAGACGTGATATATATAAGTTGGTTGGTCGAATCCCACCAAAACCCACCCAATAATCAATCATAGCGAGCGATCGCAAGAGTAATGGCGAATTAATTTCGCATCCATATTGTAACTAAAATCGTTCTAAAATCAAAATAGTAACCGCATATCATATATGCGATATCGGGATATGACGAAATATCGATCCGGCGAGGAGAAGAGGACGCGTGATAAAATCCTCGACAAAAGCTCACATACAACTTTCACCAGAGATATCACCTTATAACCGCGCTTATAGCGAAAAGCTTTTATATATATTGCGCGCACGGGCTTTTAATTAAACTTTTAATCGACTTGTTGGCTTAAGCGCGCGCGTTGGCGATATATTTGGCTTACGTGGACAGGCTGGAGTGCGCCGAATACATATATTGTTTTCGCAATCTGCAATTGATAGTAGGCGCGTATGTTTCGAATCTCACGGAAAATTGATTGCGATTATCTGTAACGAGGGCGATCATTCACGACTGCAAAATACTTTTCGTCAAATTATTCACGTGTGTTTGAATATTCAACGTCGCTCTTGTTTACGCGCCGCTAATCGTGAACGGAGAAATACGTTAGCAGAAAAGCGAATGGTCGTTTCGTTAGTTTACCGATAACAATGAAAGAGATGAATCGCGTCGAGGAAAAGAGGGATTACCGATGGCTGTGGAAACCTAAGGAAAAGATAGCATCGATTTCTTTTCGAGATATTTCACGTAAAGTCGTGAGGTATGTTCACCTTCAGTGATTGGAGTGATGACGGACTCTTCTATATTATTATAGTACGATTCTTCCGAGTTGTCATTTCGAACAGAACATTTCCACGATAATATTTAGACAATCGTTACTCTAACGTAGTTTTCACACTTTCTCTCTCTCTCTCTCTCCCCCTCCCTATTGAAAAAAGTGGTTTATTTTAGACATAGAAGATAACCTTGCTAGTGCGTCATGTATCATACTTCGTATACAATAATATATATTATCCTGATAAATTTGTAGTTGTAATGTAAATTTTATTGTTGTAATGCAAATGTATTGAATCGACGTAACCCAGTAATGGACAAATTTTCGATGGATATTTTCGGTCCGCTTACGACCCGGTGTATTGTGTTCGATATCTATGCTGATTTATGGGTTCTTGCGTATACACCTCTGCACCTCTGATCCGGAAAGATACTTTAGATTTCAATGACAATCGACATTACATTCGAAATCATGCCATTAAATGGCTGAATCGGGCTGATTACAGTGAAATCTCAATAAAAACGCAAATGAGAGACCGTTTTCGATTGCGTCAATGTGCTCCCAGCGTTTTCGCGATATCTTCTATCGATATTTTCGCGAGGTCGAAATCTTGGATTAGTCGAGACAGTCGCAAAAAAAAGCGAAGAAAGAGAAGGGAATTGCGCTTTGACAAATCTTACTCATCGGGCAGCATTTTCCGTGGACAAATGGGTCTTTTCCGGCTTTTCGGATTTTCCTGACGGTTATCTCCTCATTATGTGGCACGTGATAAAAGATTAACTTGCACGTGATAAAAGATGAGTCTTCTTAAATAAGAGAAAGAATTATCTCGCTGCCAAAAGAAAATGTTAACAGAAATGCACACCAAAAGTGAATAATCTTTTCGTATATATGCGAATCCGTATTCTTTATGAAAACGAAGAGATGTAAAAACTGATGATTAAAACTTGTTGGGAAATTGATGTACACATTCGCGCGATAGGACGATTATTGTCAGAGAAAGTGATCTCCATTCCAAATATATTTTAGATAAATATTGAAACTATTTGAAATATAAGACATTTTTTATATAATATTTTATATATGTACATATGTATGTGTGTGTTCTAAATTATTTTTCTAAGTAATCCTCGCATATTGGAAAATAACGATTTACAAGCACAATAAAAATTCGTGCAAACGAAAATTGTGTTTTTGTATCGTGTCCGCATACTACGCGTGTCTGATCTGCTTAACAAAAACTCGTGACGTTTGAATAATTCGCTTTCGCAAGATTCCGCGGATTGCGTAAAATGTCAATAACTGTTCCAATTAAATCGTAATAATGATAATGAGAAGAGAAAAATTTCCTTCCGATTTACATTAATTTTCAAATGAGAGCAACGTACAGAACATCAACTTGTCGATTAGCACGACGTGCGTAGCTTACTGATGCATTTGCATCATATTAACCCTTTGCACTCGAGGGCTCCGGAGCGGAGCCATTTAAAATTTGTCTTTGAACTCGCGGGCTCCGTTATGGAGACGATGCAAATAACTTTCAATTCATAACATAAGGACAAAGACAAATCGTAAAAACGATTGTGTATAGGATATATTCTCTTGCTATTTGCATTTGAGTTTGAAGAGTTTGAAGACAAATTTTAAATGGCTCCGCTCCGGAGCCCTCGAGTGCAAAGGGTTAACGAATCCGAGTCAAATCCGAGACAAATTCAACAATTCGAGTCATTCGACACACGTGCGCGACGCAACGACCAAAAATGCCAAACTGCCGAAATTCCAGTTGCTCAAGCGCATCGAGATATTGTTACTCGATGAATCGCTGGGAGCACATCGACACGCAAACGGAACATGCGCTTCTTTCTCTCCTCCCATGAGATAAGAGATCATTTCTACGGCGGGACATTGTATAAAACATTCATCGTGTCTTCCTGTTGTGTCACATTCAAATCACATTCGTCATCAATATGGTCTGTTGTTACGCCAGAGATTAATCTTGCATCGCGAAATTTAATTGCGCAAAACTATTTCAGTAATTTTATAGAACGATACGCAACAATAAGATGCGGAAGCGATCACGATTCCTCGTATTGTAAAGTTGCGTAATGCTGCGATTATGTGTAGCGGAGCGTGATGATGCTTGTACGAAAGAATGGACATTAAGTGGACAATAGATAGAATAATACAAGAGGAATAATTACGTACAAGCGTCCCTCGAAACTCCTCAACTACATCATATAGAGATCCTTATTGACATGTTAATGAATAGGTTCAAAGTTCTAAATATAATCCGCAAAGAGAACGCGCAGATGGAAAAAACCCGACAAGTACTAGATGTTTTTCGATCTTCCGCTGTGAAATATCGTTCATTAAAATTATGTAACCATGAATATTTTATCAGGATTCTGATTAAAACATAATGTGTCGTAACGTAAACTGCATCTTATAAATTTCAATGAAGCTGTCGCACACTAACGATCACTTTGACAACATTTTGCGCAGTATCTCTCGGACACCGTAGATTACATCTGACGAGAAATTTGAGAATCAACTAATTCCAGCGCGTTTGTAAACGGCTCGACTTTGAAATATATCTTTCGAGAGATCCATTCATTATCGAAACCACACTGAAAGCGCGCAAACGGTCGCCGACACGGTAATTCTTCTGCGGAAATATACGCACAACTTTAGAATGACGATGCGATAATTATGAATACATGCAATATTCATTCGCGATCGAGGATGCGACGATTTAAAAATTAAATGAGCGCGAAAAAGATTGCATAACCTAAGCGATGGTGTAAAAAGAAAAAAGAGTGGAAACATATCGGGTAACTCGATAATGATCGACCGCGATTAAGAAACAATTGCACCGATCATCCCGTTTCAATGACGACACGGAAGTTCAAAGCACGCGACTCATTCGGCCGATCGATTAATTCCGCCAAGCGGTGTCAATAAGAAACGCTGGGAGGAATAGTCGGTCGAATTGTTAACGAGCGAATTGTTGTTGCAGTCGCGGTCGTTATTGCGTTCTTCATCTGTTGGGCGCCTTTTCACGTGCAACGATTGATCGCCATATACGGGACCAATACGGAGGATCACATAACGTCGAACGGCCCGTGGATGGAGTTTCTCTACCTCCTGATGACTTATGTGTCGGGTGTTCTCTATTACGTATCCACAACAATCAACCCGATCCTTTACAACATCATGTCGAACAAATTTCGCATGGCGTTCATGGTAAGTGCGAAAAAGTGATTGATTATTTCGCGCGAATCTTTTGTGATGAGAACGATGAATGGTATTCCAGGAGACGTTGTCCAGAAGCTGCAGGCTACCCGGGCTGCAGCGTCACGAGCAACGTTCGTATTCCAGCCTGTCCCGATCTCAGCAACGCACGATCGGCGGCGCGTACAATTCGAAAACGGCGGGAACCATCGGCCGGGGATCCGGCATGGTGGCGGATAGTACGGATGGTTCGGCAAATTCCGAAACCGCCTGCCCAAGAAACAACGACGGTCGCATCGCGGGCAATCGGCAGAGCAGGAATCTTGCTGTTCCGAGGTACGTGAGCGCCGATACTTCCGACAAGAAATGGTGGCTCAAGTGGCTGCCGGGGTTGAAGGTCCTCGGGTTCTCCGGCAGGCCGGCCGAAGATGAGTCCGCTGCTGGTCGTCGCGAGGAGCTGCCCATGACGATGTGGAACCGACCCGTCTGAGACGCGGCCGAGATCTCTACGAGAAGACCCGCGTCGGCGATCAAACTAACGATTGTCGCCTGATTGAAGACCTACGAACATCACATGACTGACGGGCGTAGTTTGAAGGAGTTTAGTTTGGAGAGGCGGTCTCACGACGATGCCATCGACCATGGTGACTGGCGAGAGAGTTTGAGGGACGAGAAAAGACGACGACGGGAATTGAGAGAAATTCCAACAAACATGGGAGAAACGAGAAAATCGTCGCGGCGGATTTACAAAGCGAATCTTACGATTGCCGCGTACCGCTGAATCGGTCGAAAAGAGCATTCGAAAAGAGAAATATTGCGCTGATGCATCGCTAGCGATTTTATAAGTCGAACATGTCAGGACGTTTTATAAGTCGGAACATGTCAGGACGTTTCATAAATCATTCCGCGATACAGTTTCCTCGAATATCTGCTCATTGATCACCAAGAGAGATTTATTCATATACACACATTTTCTGTCGAAGCGACTCATACCAAATAATATAAGCATATCAGTCTTTTTTTTGACAGAGTTTTTACAAAATTTACATATTTCTGATATCAGGCTCTGAGAGTGCCCCAAAAAATATATATTCGCTGATGTTATAAACAATGTTCTTCTAACTCTTTCTTTTTTGTTCATCATTTTACTTCATACCTCTGTGTATGTCTCTCTCTCTCTCTCTCTCTCTCTCAAAATCATATTGAAATGAAATATTATTTAATTCCCTCGTGTCGCGTTCCGCTCCGAAAATGTCAAAGTGCCAATTTTTTATCGATGTTCGTAAATATTGCGATACAGATGTATATATATAATTATCATAAGATAATATCGGACACATCGTTGAGTGAAGTTTTAGCGATTAAACTGATTAGAATGAGCGACGTACGTAATACGCGTTTAATTGAACTAAATTGCGATAAAAAGGTGATTATAATATAAATTATTCTGCGCATATAACAAAATTTCACGACTAACGACAATTAAACAGATGATTACTTGAAAAACGTATAAGTAATAATCGGGAGAAATGCGTCTTGAGCGTTTTAAAAACGTGTGTGCATGCTTTTGATATCACGCGCAGAATTTACACGTCATATGCTTTCGAATAAATTGTAAACACATTCACACCTGTAAAAGCTCGCTCGTTAATATATATCATATTATTGTAGAGAACACAATGTTGTAGAATGTACAATGTAGCATAAGATACTACTTTTCTCGTCTCCTTCTCTCTCTGTTCTTCTTTCGATTTAACACTAAAACTACCGACGATTAACGTGTACCTTGCTATCGGAGCAATTTAAATAAGATTTAATTAAGATAATTAAATAAGATTTTTGAAAAAATACGTAATACAGAAAAAAATATCTATTCGTTTATACATTGCGACGAAAATTACGGTTAATCTCAAAGAATGCACTATTAGACATTGGAATAACTTTTATAATAAAAAAAAGACCGGTCATTTTGACCGCTTCGGTAGTTTTAGTATTAAACAATGTGATTATTAAATACGTAAATAAGATAACTGCAGTTGTCAATTGTGAAATCTTCGCCGTTTATTTTCATCCACGTATCCGCTTAATGGATGTTGATCGTATTCTTGTTGTTGTACATTACAAATATCAATATTTTTGATAATTACACTAGACGCGCTTGTAATGCGTCGTAAATTCATCCGACCCTTTATTTCCCTTTCCCCTTAAAATCGGCCTTTTCGATGACAAAAGGAATGATATTGTACAGATTTCCACTCTACATTCGTTATACAAGCATTCTATAATTCATAAATAGTGCGACTACAACATGTATTTTCATATTTGGAAATTATTTCGGCGATTACCTTGCGAAATTTCAATTCGGTAGACTAAATTATCTTCAATATTACAGTCGAGCAAGAGCGGGAAATAATTTTCCGAAAGCGGACGTTTCGAAAAGATGGGCTGAAAACAGACCCGGCGATAAGTTTTATCTTTGCGAGATATTTCGAGGGTACACGACAACATCGTTGCAAATGAATGATTGAATAATAAAAATAGGCCGATTAAATATATGATCTTACCATATAAGCGTATTAAGTTTATATCGAATATATTTTTGATTGTCTCTCACGAGTGAATTGACTGTTTTTCTAACAACAACGTATTTGTAAAGATTACTGTGATTTCTTCGCGAATATAGAGGATAAATAATTTTCGGTCGTTATAAGATGGTCGGTAAAGAAGCACAATCACAGAATCATACATATATATTTATCTGCTCATATAACAAAGCCAATACATAAAGAGATGTACAGTACATACATGATAATATAATGATACGCTTACAGAAAATAAATACGAAAAACAGATCGATGAGATACACTTTTCGGTGTATAAATACAATGAAAAAAAGAAAGAAACGAGAATGTTAATAAGATCTTCATTGTATGGACACATAATGATGTAATCATTTTGTGTATAAAATCATATAGAATTTTTTACGAGATACATTATTGGAGATTCAACTGTAGGAGGTTTAAATAAATTAAATATTCAAGGATTATTCAAAGATTCCAGTTCTCGCATCTAACCGTACAACGAAGGCGTTTTATCGATGAAATTGTAAATAAAATCGAAGAAGGTTCGCGAATAGATACTTTTAGGCATCAACAACTTTTGTGATGTGGCAATAATATGAAAAATAACCACTGCATAGAAATATATAAATAATAGTGGCAAGATAATCATGACCTCTGTGTCGTGCACATTGACGAATATCAGTTGAGCATCAGACGCATCTGTTACAACAAACAATTCGCGAAGGAATAAAGTTTCAATCTCAATATTCATCAGCAAAAATGGATTTGATCAAAGTGCCTACATTGATTCAACGATGGGAAGATGGTGTATAAAAAATTAGTTATTAATAACAATTATACGTATCTCTGTCGTTGCGTTTGCATATAACAAATTTTACAAATCATATAATTTGCATATTGCATTTCGATTTATATATATATGATTATTAAGTACGGTCTTTCGCGTATTATTGATTGTAACTCACCACCTAGACGTGCCCGCGTAAAGCGCGGTGCGTGTTCTATATAAATACATATATATAAATATTTAAATAATGCATCTTCACATATTCTTATATATCCGACATGAATTACATACATACATACATGTGTGTGGTGTGTGTGTGTGTGTGTATAGATTTGACATTAAATAATAATAACAAACATGTACATCAATATAATAATAAGCGTACGGCATGAGTAAACTTACAAATGCAGGAATGTATAATTCGCATGAGAGAGAGAGAGAGAAAGAGAGAGAGAGAGAAGAGAGAGAGACGCGTAAACTATTATTGTTTTGCGATACAGTCTCTTACAATGAGACTTTTTACGGCATACTCTCGAGACAACCCTTGATGTGCTGCCACGCCTGGAGACCCTGTTGTAATGAAAAGTAATGTGGGGATCGATCATCGCGTCACAAAATGCCATATCGAAATGTATATTAATACACGAATCAAATGAACACCGACCTTTCTAGCTAATTTGAACTGCAATACGCAATAAGCCGCCAAAGTCTCCTTCAAGTCGATGACTTTTTGGTGTTGAAATCTTTCGATGTCCATCATGGCTTTGATTGAGAAAGACCTGTACGTGAACGGTTCACCGAATTGTCAAATTACATCGAGTTAACAAGTTGTCCATTATCGAAGAATATCGATCGAGATGCGGTGGTCTTACTTTAAGTCTTCGTCGACTTGTTTGACAGCCTCGTCGTGTTGTGCGATTCGCTGTTCCAATTGAAGGATCTTCAATTCGCGAACTTCCTCGGTATCCACGGAGCCGAATAAGCGCGACATCAGACCGGCCTTACCTTGGAAACACACAGAAGATGCTCGAGATATTTCATTTTCGGTCATTTCTAAGCATCATGAATCATTTCTCTCTCAAAAACGCCCGATACCTTGCATGACTTTGTCTTTCTGTTCGAATGCGGCAGTTAAAGCATCGTGGGCTTCATCCTTGGCCAACTGCAGAGCTTCTCTACGTTTAACCACAGCTTGCAAGGCGGAGGCGCCAAACAACCACTCCTTCAGCTGATCGGCTATAAGTTCTTCCTCCTCGAGAGTAGTATCTATCGTTGCCGCTAATGAGTCCAAGTAGTGTCCCGATTTCTAAGAAAACAGGCTGTAATAATACGGTGTTTTGCAATCTTTATATTTACTTCTTTTATTATTTCTCTACTTTTTTTTTCTCTCTCTCTTATCAAAGTCGTGTTACGCCACTTTCGATATTAACGGAGAAAATTTCGTCTATCAGTACGAAGGTACCTGCAGTCCATCGCCCATCTCTCTCTCTATGGCACTCCATTCGCTAAAGACGCGACCGTAATTCGCGTGTAACTTGTATAGACTGTGTTGCTTCTCGACGAGACGCGCGCGTACTCGCAGCAGATTGCATAAATTATTCTGCAAAACACCGTAATCATTTCTCGTGGATACTTGTTATCGAAGATACATTTTAGAAAGGTGTTAAACTAATCGACATTGCGTGATTTAGGGCTTAATAGTAGCATAAAGTCATCGAGTTGCGCGTCCATGCCGTAATTCATTCGTTATAATTCTTCGAATGGACTACCTGAAGCTCAATTCCGTAATTTTTTATAGTCTCGAAACGTTTATCCGGCTTTCTTAGTCGTACCGCTACGCTAAGGGCTTTCAATTTCGACTCTGCAATCTGCAGGTAGCCCGTTTCTTTGACACTCTCTCTCCAGCCGTCCTTTTGCTGGAGAAATCCCATGAAGTGTTCATCGCGCGATAGTATGGGATGCGACGCCACTCTTATGAGAAAATTCTGCGAAAGAATATTTTTACGACCCCTTTGTTATTCATCGTAACGCATACTGTTTGTAATTGCAGACCAGAGACATACCTCGAGACCCGCTCTTCTACGATCAACAAAGTCTGGATCGAACGTATCAGTTGTTACTTTTTGCCACGCATAGAGAACTTTCTTCTCTGGTAGTGGCGGTAGTACGATGTAAGGATACGAGATCTCCAGGTAAGCACGGAGTAATTCAAACTCGGTGTATCGTCGCCATAACGAACTTATTCTAGTCAGCGCGCTTTTGAAATCTGGATCTGTGACTCTACAATGAAGAGAGAAAAAGAAAGAGAGAAAAAAATAGAGTAGAGAAAGAGAAAATGAGAGAGAGAGAAAGAGAGAGAGAGAAAGAGAGAGAGAGAGAGAGAGAGAGTGTATGTGTGTGTGTATTTTATTTATATAAAATTTAATACTTTGTTGTGTTTCACTTGATTACTCATGTCTATGTTACTTTGTCAATAGTTTGCCTCATATTTAATTAGCATCTTTATTCTGTCACTCACTTAGTTTCAATGAGGTATACCGTGTAGAATTCTCTTAGATTAAGCGCCCTATTCGCCCTTTTCTCAGCCTCGACTATTGAGATCTCCATGTGATCGAGCAGGCATCCCTGAAATATATTGCTGAAATATAACGCTCAATCGCCGAATGTTCTCTCAGATTTGAAAGACACGCGCGCGTTACTCTATCCACATATATTTTCTCGTCACTCACGAAGGATGTTATCAATACACAAACAACAAAATGCGACAGCTGTTGTTGCCAATTCGTAGGAGGAAATACACAAATGCACAGATAAGTATAATGAGAGAGCAAGCTATATAGTGGGACTCGAGTCAGTGACACCGTTTGGAAAGCGCTGCGCGGTCTGGGATAATCGCTGCGCGACACACACCACTCAGAGATATTTAATTATGACGATTAATTAATTTCTACAGCACTCCAAGCCGTTATTCGTGCGAGCCACTGGATTTGCCGAAAGTTCGACTTTTCGCACGAATATCACGGCAAGCGTCGCGCTTGCTCCGACTTGCTCGAAGTATGAAATCGCACACAAGCGCGAGAGAGAGAAAGAGAGAGCGGCGTATCGATTTACCTCTTTCCGCGTCTCGACGGCGGTCATGTTGGCGTTAGCCTCCCTCTGATAGTTGCCGTTCTGAAAAACTTCTTCCATGATTCCCGACGATGCGTGCACCTGCGGGGATCTTTAGCCAGCGAGAAAGCCACTTGCTCGCATCACGCTATCGCCCACACGACCTGCAACCGCCACAGCCGTATCGACACTGCCGCGTCACAGGGTCCGCATCATACCGCACGGTAAAATCCCTACGAGCAGAATGGACGCCAGCACGAACAGAGTCTCTCGAATAACGATATTCAAGACTGAAACTCTACACTATATGTTACTGTAGAGACTGTATACCGACAGCGGATACACATAGGCGTTTTGTTTCGGTCCCTCTTCACTGGATGCTGCGTTAAATTTCCGCATTGTTAAGCTGGTTGGGTAACGAAAAATAAAGCGAGTAACAATGATAAAACGAATCTAGAATCTTAGAATTTGTTTCATCAATTGATTTTATTTTTTATTCCGGTCGCGAACGTCATGGAGACTGTCGTAACCGTTATTCTACATTGCACACGCGTTGCGTCGATATGTACATGATAAGATAAGAAGACGCGTAACCAGTGATATTTACAGAGTCGTACCGTATTTACTAATTCAGCACGCTAAACTGAACGAGCGAACCGAAGGAAATCCGCAGAGTTGGCTGCGCTGACGCTTCTCGTCATCTAGAGAAATCCTTGAGCGAGGTGATTCGTCGCACGCCTCTGCGTCGCGCATTGCGTACTGGAGGATTTGAAAACGGATAAACAGCAAATTTGTATCGTATTGAAATGTTCTTGTTATCGTTATGCTTTGCAGTGGCATTAAATTATTTCTAATGTGTGTCGTACGAAACATAAGTTGCAGATATATGAGTAGATGTATTTACATAATGGAGAAGAGCGTATAACTATAACTCGTCATCGTTGAAATGCGCAAAAAAAATAAAATACGTGTTGACATGTAATTTTCTTTTTTTTTTCTTTCATCGCACAAGAGTGAAACATTGAGCGACATGTGTCGGAAATGCGGCATCAAACTGTATCCTTTGGTACGTCGTTGTGTTTCCGAGGTAGTATAGCAACCAAAAGGGCAGATACTGGCAAATAAATAACACGCTGTTGAAATCGTAATTTTCTCATGAATTTTCACGTACAGTTTTCCGACAGTTGCGAGATCCTTACTTAAAGAAGCCGAGCCGATCATGATGAAGGGTCCCAGGCAGGATAAGTCGAATAAAACGGGAAATAATAAATTGCCCATCACCGCACCGATTCTCCCCATCATCATGGTTATACTGACCGCCATGGTTCTGAAACGAAATCAATGTATTTATGTGCGGTGGAATAAAGAGAACGAAGAAAAATGTATCATATAAGTCTTCCCATTGAATGTGTTTCGATCAAATATTTTCCCGAGAGAAACAATGTACGATAGGCTAGATAAAACATACCTTAGACACGTAGGGAAATTATCGACGACAACATTAACAACGGCCGCTCCACCTATGCTCGACATCGCGACAAATACCGAAGACAATCCGAGGATGCCGTTAGTATCCTCGGCCCAATAAAGCGAGCCGCAACAGGCAGCAGCGACGATGAAGCAAATTGCTACGAAGATGAAAGGATTGAGAAGAAAAAGAAATCATACCGCGCAGTGTTACCTTTCCACTAATATGTCACAAACACCAACCCTAAGCAGGGTGACGTCTAAAGATGTCCTAATTACGTATTATTGACATTAGAGACGTCATTTGAGTAGCAAATGATCAGATCGATATCTCACCCATTAATTTTTTCTTTCCAACTATCGTGATCAGAGAACCAGCCAAGGTATAGCCGATAACACTTGTAACGGCGATCACGATGGAGTTGATAAAGACTCGAGAGTTCAAATGTGGCTGAAAAATATGTTATCTGCCAAATTTGTGTTTATCGCACGACAAAAGCGGGGAATATTACTCACCGGCACGCACGCAACCTTGTCCATCGTCTCGTTGACGTATCGAGTAGAATTGTGATGCGACTTTTCCTGACCCAACATGTAGCAGAACGATGGTTGCAAGCCTAACGCGTGCTTATCATCCTTCAGGAGGTTATTCTTGTAGCTCTCGATCATCGCGAATAACTGCGGCATCCAAAGTCGGAGCGAGTTTGACCTTATAACGCGATTCTCACGTTAGTTGAAACGATTCCGCCTTGGAAAATTTGAATCGATCGAAGCGTTAACACTGACCCTGTCGTTGCGCCGAGCTGTATCATTGATATGAGTATCAATTTGAAGACGCTGGGCGGAAAGAACAACGGCTTGATTCGCTTCCAGCAAGTGTGCAGTTTATCCCGTAGATCACGTTCCCCGGAAGATTTCACGTAATATTCATCCTCAAGAGACTTTATCTGTCGATTAATCGCGTCGTCGGTATTAATGCGATAATTATCGGGTATATTCTGCATAAGCAAAGACTCTGAATACTCGGAGCAAGCCGTTACGTTAGAGCGATCGATCGCGAGTATCGTTATGCATATTACCGGATATGTGTCAGGGTCTTTCCCGGTATTGAATGAGTAAATTTTCTTGAAGACGTCCAACGCCTCGCTGTGCCGACCTTTCAGAATGAGGAAACGCGGACTCTCCGGAAAGGCAAACAGGGCGATGCATGCTAGGAATTCGGGTAACGAGCAGATCGCCAAAAACACCCTCCAAGAACTGATCTCTATCGTTCCATTTAAAAGTGTAAAGTCCCATTTTTGAGGTATCACGAGCCACGCTACACCTACGGGCCGAAAATCGCGTCTGTTTTGCTACCCCGACAGTTTTCTTCCCGTCGGCTTCAAAATTTATACATCTCTCTCTCTCTAGACACAGTACGTACATGGCAGGGAAATATTTCCGAGCGAGAAGAACACGCCGAGCCACATGTACGAGCGCGATCGATGCGTTTCGCCGTGAATCTCCGCCAAGTACGACATAAGGGCTGCGTATGGGCCAGATATGCTGCAATTTTTTTAATCGGCTCTGTCAACTCTTATGTAATAGATCTATGCGTTTTTAGTTTTAGTTTTTCACTACTATTATTATGGCAATTTGTGACTTTCGCTGATACATCTCGTCAAGCTGCATCTTGTCAACTTCCAACTTACATCACGCCGTCGAAAAATTTGCATACTATCAAAAGCCAAGAAGTGTGTGAAAAAGATGTCGCCAGACTTAGCAGACCGGTCACCAAGTAACCATAGAACATTATTTTCCTACGGCCGAAAATATCGGCCATGCAACCCCAGAAAAACGCCGTGCAGATCATTCCTGAAACAAATCGATGTATAAGCCGTCTTAATACGGCTCTTCCGGAGAAGATTGGTCGTTAGGGGAAAAAAATCAAATTAAACATAAATATGAATAAAAAGTTTGCATCAAGTGCAATATAGGAAGATAAGTGTCGGATTATTCGATAGGCATGCGCCTCCAAACTTAACAATTACAAATATAATTATTTCATTTGTCTCTGCATCGTTTTAAAAAAGAACCTTTGTTGTGTGACTCTTTAACGTGAACACAAAGTTTTAATCCATCCATTCTTTGACGAAATTTTTGCACGCGAGCGTTATATGTAATCGAATGTAAAAAAAAAAAAACATATTTCATTTCTCCGTTAGCGAAAAGTGTTTTATTACTGAAGAAAATAGAAAAATCTCGATTTAGTTTACCGAACAATTTCAAGATAACATCCTATGTAAGGATTCACGATCAGTATGGACAACCGCAGTTCAACTCAGCTTGGGATTACAGTCGAATGTTAAAATTTGAATATAATACCGGCGAATAATTCTTAAGTAGATAAATATATACACGTCGGTCAAAATGTAATGTCTCGAAATCACATGCAAAAATGGTCTACTTTATTAAATCCCTTTCTACTCCCACGCTAAATATATAATAATAAATCTCGATATCACACACAATATATCGCGTCGTGATAAGCATATATGAAGGGAGTGTAAACAAGATGCTGCGCGAAACACCAAGAAAAACATTTCATTTCCGTGCGTCGATTTTTCATCGAGATATGGGAATTTAAAGACTGGACATCTCTTCAGTCGCGTGGTCCTCTATCATCCTCTATCATCGACGCAACGGAGCGTCCAGTACTTTGTAGCAAGTTCGTGCCTCGGACTTAGCGGCGCCCTTGACTAAAGGGCGAGCTCGACTAAGCGGCGCGTAACATTGATGCAGCGCGCAAGTCACCGTCAAATGCAACATTCGTCAATGTCTTCGCGTAGAAAATCCGTAGCAACATGGGGCAAATTGCATTCAAACGGTAAAATTGTATCGTTTCTGGATAAAAGGATATATTAACAAATCGATTAACTGCCTTTCGAATTGATAAGTTTACCGTTAAAGGCGCACGTAATTCCAAGATTTTAATTCGTATTATAGAGAATATAAATCTTTTGTTTGTTGTAGCATAAAAGTGAATTACAATTGTGAATTTTATCAACATGTGGCGATTTACGTTTTCGTTATTATATTTCGACTAGATGAATATAGCAAGACATTATTACTTTACATGGGATATATTAAGTCGTCACACACAACTCATTTCTACGCACGTATATGTACGTATATGATTGTATGAGATATTTTTCCGAGAATAAAATTGGAAAATTTTGCATCAGCATAATACAGCGGACGGTATTCTCTCGTAGCTTATTCTTTAGCATCTTTAAGAATGTCAGAAATGTTTCGCGCGAGCATTTGAAATATTACCCCACATTGTCGAGTCCGACTGAGATACGCAAGGTTTCGCGACACGATAAAATTTCTCCTTGCCGCGCAGGAGGAGAGAAGTCGCTACACGGAGCCCGAGAGGGCCTTAATCCACCACTGGATCGGTTGCCTGCGGATTGAAAACGACCGCACGTTGCAAGATACAACGGCCGATCGATATATTTACTGTTTGCTCTCACTCGTTATTGCTTACAAGCACGCATAAGTACGCGCTCTTAGGTTCTCATCGCACCTATAATACAGCGTGCTCTAATATGCAACTTGAAATACCACCTGCGAACGCCATCGAGTTCAGCAGCCCCTTGTCGAACATGGTCAGCCCGAGATCGCATTCGGCAGATGGTAGCACGTAGGACATTGACGAGGACGAAAAGATACTGGAGAAACTGGCTGGTAATACCGCCAGCAACAGCAGGTAATTGAATTTTCCATAGCCTGCCGGGATCACAGAAAAACACATTGTAGAAACACATTAGAAACGCGAACGAACGTACCTTGCGTAACTTGGCGCGCATTACTCACCCGTTGACACGATCGCCCGTTCGAAATTCGCCGGATCCTCGTGCTTCACGTCTGTAAACGAAAGCAGCATTCGCGAGATGTATCACCGAGAGATGTTTCCGTCTTGTTGCGACCGACATAGAAATCGACTAACTTTTCGAGAGACACCACACTAACGCGCGTATTTCTTCATTCGCTCGTCATCAATGCGACATTATTTACATTTACTTCATTGGATAAAAATGGTATTCATTAGATATAAATTTGCAGGAATGTCTTTCCCTGTAAAAGATCATCAATCTTTCGCGAAACACAATTAGATAATGATATAAACCTATTACACCGTGCATTAAGAAGAAAAAACCTGTTCTCGCAGTATGTTCCTGAAGATGCAGTCATCTCCGTTGAACGGTATATCCACGGTAAAACGCAATAATATAACAACGATGCGATACGAGTGATTCAATTACATGGAATATTTGCACGAAACGATAGACAGCTGCATCGCAAGCGTACCGTCGAATTAATGTACGTACAATACTAACATCGCGCTGCTTATTATACATATTTTCTTTTTGCATTTCTAACTCGCGAGGCAATCGCGCGTCGTGATTATCTCGATCCTGAAAGTCACACAGAATCAGGACGATCGCAGACGATTTGGGCTCAACTAACGATTGATAACTGTTGTTAATTTATCCGCAGAAAAATCAGAGAAATCTTACCTAATCGGACCTTTATGGAGCGTATTATTTGATAAAACATATTTCCAGCCAATGAGATATTGACCGGAAACTTCTTTCGTACTTGATTTGTTTCGAAAATAGAGAGGATCTCGAGAGATAAATCTGTGTAATTGTTAATAAACTGAAATTTATGCCACAGAGGTGTAATATCACTTACAGCAGCGTCATTTCATTAATTTAACAAAGTTATAATTCTGGACTTAACTTCGTCTGATCGTAACTACACAGGGAACGAATAAAAAAGAATCCTAATTCAAATACAATTTATATTTATCAACACTACGATGCATTTTTGCGATTCTATCACGACACGAACAAAGGGAAACAATATCGATCCTTTTCGAGCGGAATTAAAACATCTCGATCGAAATTATCCCGAATCGTCGGGCAATTAATATTCCGACGTTGTCGATGTGCACTAACAAAAATAATGCGATCGATCGAGGAAAGCCGCAGGATGCTGAAAAATGATGCGATGGCAACAATCGGACGACAACTTGCCTTCGGATTTCATGGAGGAACTCATGAAATATCCTTGGGATCTATCGATGTCTCTTCCGGTTGTGAAAAATACTCGCGGAATGAGAAGTGCAGGTTTGAATTGTAAACACGGGTAGACCGGCGGCGAACCACCGTCGACCTCTTACTCGACGCTGCTCGATCGTGCAACCGCTTTGAGTGAGTTCTTTGGGATTCGGCTGCACATGCACAGTGCGCGCGTTAAACTGGCCGATTCGCACGATTCAAAAGCATTACCGTGGCGGAAGAAGTGCGCGACGACGATGACGACGACGGTGACGACGGCGTCCGTCGTCACGCGGTGGGGCGGAACAGGTTCTTGAAAGAACCTGTACAACACGTCGTCTCGAGAGAGAAAAAATCATCTCCCGCACCCGCATACCCGCCCCCCGCGAAAAGACGACGCGAGGATCCTTCCCTGCATCGGGTAAAACGATTTCTCTTTATTGCTCATAAACGAGCAATATCGGCCGAGAGGGATGAAGCGAGCAAGCATCCACGTAGTTTTGTACAGACAAATATTACGAATTCATGCACTTCGTAATATTTATTGTTCCAATTGCGGTGCAACTTCGAGATATAGGAGCTGAAGAATTTGAGGCAGAGTTTGTCTTCAATGCGCAAAGGAGTATTTGAACAATTTTCCCCGAGCATTACTATGTCACTGGTTTTGCCAAAACTGTTTGCGGGTTTCCCACCAACCGTAAGAATGGTCTCCCGCTCAAGTGAATCAAACAAGCGTCTCAGAATTTGAAATCGACATTCCAACCGAGAAATAAAATTAACACTTTTGCCACTGATAACTGATAACCGGTTTAAGTGCTGTACCGGTCGGCCGAGGTAAAGCATCTCGATATGTCGCAGAAGGGGTTTGCCTGTTTTCGGGTAGAATACCACGAGGAACCTTTGTCGGGGAAATGAATCGTGATCAATCGCGTGATCGAGGAAGATTGTGCGGAGAGATTATATCGGTAAAACCCGTGCTAACTCTGGTGATTGGTGGAGTAAGTGTCGTTCCAATATTCATTCTCCGTCAGCTTTTGCAATATTACGTTTTCGACGAATCGGTAAATTTATTAAAAGCTTATTGAAAGTTACTCTCCATGAATATTTACATTTTTTCTATTTTTTTTTACGTGCAAGACCTTCAAGCTCTTACGTACGTCTTTCGATTTTCGACAATGTCTTTAGCGCGTCAGACTCGAGGAACACGGGAATCCTTTGCCGTCGGATCTCTTCCTTCTTATGAATTCACTCTCTTCGACCGTCCAACACTGTCGTAGCACTGCCGATTTTAGAATAGCGCCGATAGATTTTGCACGACTCCTATCAGAACTCGATAAAAATAAAGGAGATTGTAACCTTCATTGACAAGATTGTAAACGTGCTTCTTCACCTCGATGCTATATCTTTTTACGAATGCATCTACGATACGTCAATTGTAGATACCGAAGAGGCGAGAAGAGAAAGACGATCGTTCTTACATTTGCTCCAAGAATTCATCATTGCAGAATTTTTAATAGTATGTGCCAATGTGACTCTTTCAAGTCCTAAACGTGCGAGTATTATGTATAGATTAAGCACCTTTAACCGACGAAACGTTTCTTCTCTTATATTTAGCTGCTCTACTACATATTCAATGCCCACCAATATGAGTGACAGACACTTTCATGCTTTTTGTTTTTGTAAAAAACGATAGCAAATGGAAAAAGAATCGAAATCATCCCGGTTAACACAAGTTTGTCAAAAATGTAAGATAAGACGGGTTTTGACCGCCTTGCTTGAGCATCCACGTGGCGTGCGCAGGTTTACATATGTCTATGTGTGTGTGTGTGTGTGTCTGTGTGTGTGTCCTGTGATTACACGATTTGAAGTAAGATACTTCGCACAAATCGTTTTCGCATACAAATTGTTAGTCGTTCGCCTCGTTATCCTCGATATTATCTTTGTGCACAAGCATACCCCGCACTCGTTATATCGTCGTTAACCTTGCACGCTACATTTCCATCATTCATTTCCGAAATAAGATGCAAGCACGTGGCTCTTAAATTATAAAAGAAATCACAGGTAATAGTATGCAGATCGACCCGAGTGATGTTGAAAGGGGTCTAGGATCCCCAAATATTGTACCGCGACATAACTAATTGTGTCAATCAACAAGGATTGAAAAGTATGATATGGCGACACAAATGTAAATCGTCCTCTAAATTCAGCAGAATTAGATATTAAAGAAAAGTCGAAAGATGTACGTACAATATTTAGAATTAAGAAAAGTCAAAAGATGTACGTACAATAATGTACTTTGTAATATATTTTGTGGTAATGAATCTCACTACCATAACAACACGCAAACAGTGATTTGTGGAGAAACATGAAACGGTAAACAGCTTTAATGCATCGTTTGATTCGAGGTCTCCGAGGTATGACCTTCTAGTTTTAAGCCGATTAATCGACGATCGTATTACAATATGACGATCCGCCTCGGCGCTATAATTACGCTTTAAAATAGTTGTACAACTGGATGCCGTATTTTTAGTAGCGTAACAAGGAGCCACTTATAAATTTAGTACTTATCAAGCGAAATTACGTTCGTATACATTTATTTCACTACCTAAATAAATAATAAATATTAATTTTAAACAAAATTGAAGTAGACGTACATACACAATATTACAAATACGAAAACATTATTTTTTATTTTTCCTATTATCGTTGCGCACATTTTTTCGCACGAACTTATTCGAATTTACCGAGAGCGATTCTGACGAAATCGTTAATATGTCTTACTCCATGCCATATAAATGATTTATAAGGTAAAAAATGTACGTCACGCTGTATTAACATATGTTAACGTATGCAATGCACGCTCTTCTGTTTTTTTCTTACTAGCCGCAAGAAGCTTGAACTTATTAGCTTAGCCGTTTGTAAATTTGTATTTTCCAGTAAGGCAGTTGGTCCGAAATTTATTTCTTTATAGAAATCTTGTTGAATTTTAACAGCATATTAATCGAAACATGATCTATACACGTGTAAAATTAGGAAAAGATTGGCTATAGTTGAAATAATTGAAGCCAAAGTTAGCATTATTTAAATATACGACAGATACGAAAACGGTTTCCGATATCCGATATCCGATATTTTTAATTCTAGCGAATAAACTACTCTTATAGTTTTAATGAAAAACGAGGAGACAGTAAAAGAGATATGTAGAAATATTATGAAAGAATTACAAGATCGTTGATTATCTAGTTTTTTTAAAAAATTTACGTGTAAAGTACACAATCGTTGATAACAGCTGAAGTATATGACAGCTAACTTGTAAAAATTTGGCAAATATTATACAATGAATATCGGAACGCAAACTAGTAAATAGTCAGTGCAGGGACAAAACAAATCATGTTTATAATCATTTAGCACAGATTTGTCTCTAGTTTCTTCGTATTTACCATATCTTTCTAACATTATTGTCACGGACCAACTACCTTAAATCACTGATATACCTTTAATACCGCGTTGACGTGACGTTAAAGCTATTTCTAACAACATTCTACTCGGGAAAAACGTCATTTGTTCTGGTTATTCGTTAACCGCAACGATTAATACCGTTAAACGATTTATCCATCGCATATACTGTTATATCGAAGCCAGTCACCGACGAATAAAAAATATCGAGCGCGCCGCGCTCATCGTGAATGGAGTGTAAAGCGTGCGTAAAATCGCTGATTGCACGGTATAAAGCGGTCACACGAGAATTCAAATAGAGGAAATATCAACAGACCAATAAGAGCCGGGTATGATTATATTTTATTAGATTTATGTGGAAAAATAAATAAAAGGATAAATATGTTGATAGTGTTAACAAACGTGTCAACTTGTTCGTCAGACTTTTCAAACGTACGCGGGGAATCTCCCTTTCACATCAAATCTCGGCCATGGGTCTCAATTACATAAATCTAATAGAATGTAGTCGTACCAATAACCACGCCCAGCTCTTTTCTATTGGCGATGTTTTCATGAATCAGCCTGAACTTAAATTGTTCAAACAGTTGTTTGAGTAGCCACATTTTGAGATAACCGTTTTCCACGTTTTGGTTTATTCACGATGCAATGTAAATATCAAGACGTCTCTTTTTTACTTAGATAGTAATAGTTCGGTTGGTAATGCGAGTCTGCTTTCACCGGTATCATCCGCTTCGTTCCACATTAGAAACATCACGCATTACGAAAGAGCGTATTTAGAACGCAAGCAAACTTTGCACCGTGAATGAAAACAGTTCGGAGATTGCGTGTCAAGAGGTTTGTCGGCTGTTGACACGTGTCGCTGCTGATGCGGTGTCTATTGCAACGCAAAAATAATTACTCGAGTTACGATGAGAAATAAGAAACGAATATTTTTCTCGGTTTCTCTCGCTTCGATGACGTATATACACTCGAAGAAGTATCAATCAGCCCTGGGATTTCACAATTGCGCATTTTCTGCAGCAAAGTAATCAGGCCACGTTTTTTCGTTGTTCCGATCGATGTGACACCGTTCGTTTAAAATATTACGCTTCCGCTTCGATATTATATCGAAACGTTATAGATAAGTATAGAAGTGAAGAATCGACTTAAAGAATGAAGATATAAAAATGCGCAAAGATTCAACAACGAAAAACTATATCGATTTTTTTCCTCTGAATTATGTTCTCATATCAAAAGGTCCATCTTGCTTTTCCTTTCCTCTTCTGCCGTGATAGATATACATGGATAAACTACAGATCAAATTTGACAGGGCATATAAATATTACAGTTTCATTCCAATCGGATGATAAAAGGATCGAGCTCCAATTTATTTGCGCAGCTGTTTTATACACGCTTCTACGAATTTTCTCTGTACTGTCACTCTACTCTACAATTGATTGTAGCGTGCCGATCGTGTAAATGCGTCACCGCGCACATTCGCGCTACGATAAACTTTTCTCGCGACCCAGGATGAATCTATCGACCCGTGACGACCCCGCCGGAAAGCCGCTATCTTCTCGCGAATTATTCGAAGCTGCTTTCGAATGATAAAAGGGCATCTACCAGAAGCCGCGTCGTCAGTGAGAAGTCACGACGCGAGGCCTGACAATCGTGTCGTTCGACACAAAGTGATCGTTCGACAAACCAGTTGTTTCTCTCATCAACGATATCACTGTCACCGGTGAAGCCGATATCATCCTTGTTATTCATTCGGGTGAGTAAATCAATCTTTCGATATTTCCAGCGCGTTCCGAAAAACGCGGTGGTCAGAGGGGTGGTGTTTCTCTCTCGCATCTCGCACTCTTGTCGCAATTTATAGAGTGAAATAAACAACAAGCGCTCGTTTAATCGCAGTTTAATATTCGATGAAGTTCTGTACACGATCAGTCACAGGACAATATATTTCTCTCGACGAGTTTTGTATCTCGTGTACAATAGGAAAATGTATTTCCTGAGAACCATTAAAAGACGAATTCTCTCATAACACGGAATATATTCCGAAACTTATAGAAAAGAAAGTGTTGCAACTATCCTGCGATTGATTGTACGGCAGAGCTTGCATGCAGTTTCGGAAACACCAGAACAAAGATCTTGTTTTCGCGGCGCAATATATAAAATCTTACATACGTATATTTTTACGCGCGCGAAATGCAGAATTTTCTCAAATACCGTAACTGTCTCTGTTATTATATCGCAATTAATAGATAAAATAAATCAGTTCTCGCACTACTGTATCATCGATTGCATCGAAATTTATATTCGCGACTGTTTGGAATAATCTATGCGCTATAAATAGATACGCGCGGCTAAATCGAAAATAACTCGCCAAATACTGTCTCGCTTTTTACACCTGCTAACGAATGTGTGTATCAGCTATGCTGTTATAGCGGCCGCATAGATTAATTTTCAACACTCGAGTTGTAAAAAACGGTTTGAAAAATTGATATCGTTCTCGATATCAGGAAATCTCATTTTCCAATGGTACCGCACAATGGATAACAAAATCCAATGCACCGAGTGTCGAAGAATTCGCGCTCGCATCGTCAGATGACTCTGCACGTACCAATTGCACCGCGGAAAGAGACCGTAGTCTAATGTTGTTGTCCGTCTTCGATAACATTATCCTGGAAAAGGGGAATAAAAGAAATTGTGATTTCAAACCTGCGCACAGAAATATAAGCAGGCGTTATTAGACAAACATTATCATATAATTAAAATATTATTACAAAAAAGTTTACTCGGTGATTAGTTGTCCCAGATTAGTAGATATATCGTCAAAATTCGGATATTGAGATTCAACGAAAATCGCATAAGGTTTATCAATATGGACGAATGAGAAAGGAGGAATTGCATAACCTGATGCAGCCGATTTCTCGAGAAAAGAGGGACAGGGCGAGAAAGGGGAAGAAAGAAACGAATTCGCAGAAGCATCGCGCATGAAACAGCGAACCGTCACGCTGGCATCACGTGCTCGTTCAACCATCTTTACCGTTTCTTGCTCGCGCATCCGCGGCGGCTTGATTTACATTGATGCCGCTTCGTCTTGGCGCAATTTTTCTCAACGGCCCGTTTAACGAGTATATAATTTCGTTTGGATAATTCCGCAAGAAACTCGACTGCACTCTCGTCGAAGATTTCGAAAGGTATCTCGTATGATAGGCGAAGAACCACAATCGAGAGTCACCTGTGGTCCTCGGCCAGCGTGAAAACGTCAAGTAAAGCTCGTCAAATCGTTCGCAGATTGATCGAAGGATATCTGTTGTTAAGATTGAGGTTGCCGACCTTACGGGACATATTCCGCTGTATATTCTACACAGCTCGTCCTTACATAAGAAATTCAATCGTGTTTCCTAGCGTCATGTCACACCGAGTGCTCAAACACGAGGATACGCACGGCAATCACGAGGTTAAATGACCGATACCACTAGTATTGCGACGTAGGGGATAATTCCCAACGCAATAGCGAGTAGCAGTTAGTAGTGGTATGCGTTAGTACTCAGGAGCGATGCAGCAAAGAAAAAAAACACGGCGCATGCGTCCGGGATAGGGGTAGAATCGAATTCTCTCGGATGCGGTCGGCGCAAAAGTCATTGCTTCCCCGTTCGTGAGTGCAAGTACAGTGACTCGAACTCGTTCGGTTTTTGGATTATAGTAGACGCGAGCGGTATGTCGATCGTCCGTCCATCGTGGTGAGTTTTCGGTGGCACGAGGGGAATCATTTCATCGTCCGTTCCAGGCCGGCTCGAGGGAGAAAAAGATGGGCGTGGAAGTTTTCGATTATCTGCAAAGCTACCTACAAGTAGAGCGCTGCAAGAAATCGTATCTGGGTAGGTGCCGAATCCGTTGATTCGCGTCAACGACACGACACTCTACACACGACGAGAAAAAGTTCCGCCCGACACGGAAAAAACTCATCATCGCGATTGGTAGTATTTCGCTGTAGGAACCATGCTATATTCTTCGCTTATCGACAAGGGTCGTTTATTAGAAGAAACCGTATCGTTCAACTCCAAGTCTGGAGTACCTTTGAAATTACGTACAGCTCGATGACTATCTTGTCATCATATAGATACCGACGGCTTATCGAGCAAATGCTATAATTATTAGAAATTTGAGATACCGATGAATATCCGCATATTGACGTTACCACCGATTTTTTTCGAAAGTGGCATCACTGACCGATAAAGATACCGACGATACGAAGCCTTAATTGCTCCGCCAAGATCTCGGTCAGAGGTCATTGAAAGATTAACTCGTCTCCATTCTCTCGATAAAAATAGATATGCTTATTAATGAGCGCAAACAAACAAATTAACTAAAATATTTGTTTTCAATTAAAAAACAATTTCGAACAGAGAGGCAATTTCTTGCTCGTAGATCTTAAATTAAGAAACTGTCTCTCAAAATACAAAACGATGACGCTTGACTCGTCACTCTTTCTGCACACACAGGTGACGATCGCACGGACGGCTCATTCTTTTTATAAACCTCTCCTTTGACAATTTTACATCACCAAGATCTCCTCGATCGAAAGAGTGCCGAAAGTCTGTATCGAAATTATTCATACATCAAAGCACCGCTTATCACTCCACAGTGAAATGCGCGCATACGTAACGAACATAAGCGGCACACACGTTCTCATTTTGCGCGCCTGCCTCACTCGGCAATAATTTAATAAAACGCAATTTAATCATGGATCCGCTCCCGGGTCATTCAGGCCGGACGTCGCGAACGCAGGGCGATTTGTCTCCCGGTAACCAAATTTAGCGACGCCGTTGAATTAGTTTCTCTCTCAAGAGTCCGACTATACTATTCTTTTCAAGTTTGTTTTTCAACATTCATTAAGGGTGTACCATTGGTTCTATTCCCGTCGCGGAAGAGACTCCGTTAATAATAATATTATTAAATCGGTAGAGACTGTACTATTGCGGGTACTATATTGCAGATGTCGACTTTTCTGTTCCTATATACCTGTACGTCTACGGCGAAAGCAGTGGAAAAGTACTGGGTGGCCTTATCGAACGGACAATTTTTTCCAAAAGTTTCTGAAATAAAACGTCTTAGACAAAGGAATCCTACAGCTAGCTGGGAGGGTAAGAGACAAAATCCCCAACAATAATACGGCCCGTATCATTTCAGCATTTAAATAAGAAAAGCGAGGAAATAGCACACCAAAATTCGTCACAATCGAATCTCACTACCAAATCAATAAGAAAATACGCTTCTGGGCGCAATATTTCTTTTTCGTTTGGATTTCTCCTTTTAACCGTAGTTCCCCATTGATACCAACCATTTATCTTGACGTATCAATCGTTAAAATATCTGTATATATTTAAATCGTTCAAGTAGAGACAAAGTCTCATACGAAAACGTCAAAAGCGTGACAAGATTAATGTCTAGTTCAAATGACGGCGAGAAAAAGATTCAAATGAAGGTATCGCCAAGCTAAGAGAGACGGTAGAACCTGACGATAATGCTCCGAAAGCCGGCATGCAAAGAGGCGCGAGCGTTGGAGGTGGACGAGCACGTGCTCACCGAGTGATACAACTTTTTTTTTCCGAGCTAAATAAGGTGACTCAGTGTTGGTGGGGCGATAACGAACGAATAGGAAACGCGAGCGAGTCAGCGTGCGAAGCGAGAGCTAACGGAGAGACCGAAAGGTAGAAAGAGAAGGAACGAGCTTGACAGCTGTTGAGCAGTCATGGTGTGCGTAATGTGTGCACGTGATCGAAAGAGAGAAAGAGATTGAACGTGTGTGAAACTGCGAGCGAGCGAACGAGACAGACGATACATGACAAAGTCTGGAGTAACCAGTGACGTATCTCGAGTTTGTCGCTGCTAGGGGCGAAAGTAAAGGATTATAATCACTCACAGTGGATCTGTTTCTGCGAGCGAGAAAATCTCTCGTGCGTTGGAACGGAAGTACAACTCGTGCTATCGATTTTGGACGACGAGAGTTCTTTCCATCGAGACAAAATTATACTCAGAAACAAAGGCTGTGATTTTTCGCCTTAACGTTGAGAAAGGAGGCGTATCCGTGGAATTAATTCCGTTACAGCGTCCGAATTATGAGCAACGGGAATTGATAACTCTGATAGTCCTTGCTCATGTCGGCCCTGAGTCAAAGGAGCGAGCAAGACGAGGACTATTCGAACAGGTAATGAATGAATGAGTGCGAGAAGGTTTCGATGGTAGGAGAAGAAGGACGAAAAGAGAGAGTGTAGAGGGGCGAGTTCGTGCATTTCTGGTGCGAAACTCGCACGCGTGTTCAGTCGTGAACTACCACCGTATCCAGGTGCGCTCTCGCATCGCAGGTGCGTTCACGAACTAGCGGTTAACGTCTCTCATCAATTGAATCAAGAGACGCGAAATCCGCGCGACTCAATAGAAGAGTGAGAAGAAAGATCCCGACTAACGTGTGTGGCCCGGAGTGAAAAGCGCTACAGCTGGCTGCATCGCTGCGCAGAATGTTTCTCGTTGCACCAGTCGACAATAATCGTTGGGTCTACGCGATGCACGGACTGGAAAAGCCCATGGATCATGTATCCGGTAACGATCTAATCGTATTCATCGCGACGATTCAGCTCGACGAGAAAGCAATCGATTCCCGAACGATCGTCCATCGAAGCGGGCCCATCAAATCGCGTTCAGTCGCGAATGACGTCAATGATCCAGAGAAAACAGCAAATGTCGTGATTTTTTTTTTCATTCTTCACGAACTGTTCAGCGGAATAATGCTAATCCCAGCAACATCATCACGTCGTGAATTATTGCCGCGCGCGTTTGTTGCTTGCGGTAAGCACGCGTAGAAAAGATTCAACAATGTTGCGCGACGGGCTGAATTGCATATGCGTCACATGTCAATGAGGGGTGATCGAATCGAGTCACCGAAACATACTTGATTCGTCGCCAACAACTCGCGTTCGACTGAAGAACTGCGAAACTCAACGATCGATGGAAGACATCATCACGGCTCGCATTAACCAATTTCCATCGAATGAAGAAAATTTGTCATGATCCGCCGCCTTCACACACGGTACATATGCGCGTTTACATGCAAAAGACTCGCGTCGGGTTTGTACGTGATAAACGAATAGACCTGGTCGCGCGTCTGACCACGTGTAAAGCGCGTGAACGGAGCGAGTATTTACCATCGCGTTAACGAGATACCGGCAGGAACTGCACACAACCTCGACGATAGTCTTGCTAAAACGTGGCTCTATAAATAGCCGCGCGAATCGCGCGAAGGTTGCGATAAAACATACGAAAAAAAAGATGACCGTCTATAACACACGGCATCTGTAAATCATATATAAATATTAGCAGTTGACCCTAAACTTGACATCTCGCGAGAAATGCAGCTCAGACATTATTATGATTAGTCGTTTGTGAAAAAATGAGAAAATGGTGAATTCTTTTCACCCCGTCTTTCATGATCCCCATATTTCGTCTCGTAATGTAATCTCGCCTCGTTCCTTTCGGTGGCTGGGATTCGCGTGTTGCCTCGAAGAAAACGCTCGCATTATCTTATTTTGGTTTCATCCGAGTGCAAATATTTCATCAGCGATTCACCGAGGTCAAACGATTGCCGACCTGTTGCATCGCGTCGAAATCCGTCCAATTTTTATGAGGAGAAAAATTTCTTCTCAGACTTAAATGAAACGTCTCTTTAAAAGAAAAGACTTCGTGATACTTTTCTATGCCAATGGCTTGACCGAATCGGACAATTGGAGGTCACGGTGCGCGAATAATAACTCACACAATTTACACCGACAAATTCGCTTAGTGCGCTCCAAGTTTTATGAACGATACAAAGATCGTGAAGGAAAGGTACATTTAGTGCGAAAACAATAGTGAATAACAGTAAGAGCGACAAGAATTCAGGGTCTCGGTGGATCCATCGTTAACCAATAATCACTCAGCACGAATTCGATATGCTCGCTAACGGGACGAGTGCCAAGCGACGACAGCGCGACGACATCCTTTCGGAGACATGGAGCTGCGGGTTGTTATTATAACATTTTCATTCGCGAGCGACCGCCGTCGCGAACGCATCGCGTTGTACATTGCGCGCATAGAAAGTCAATAAAGCGAGAACGTCGCGACGTGAGAACACGGTCGTCTTATTTATCTTACGTTCGTTTTGCGCAGCCGGCGGTGTAATGGCAGGCTCCATTGCCACTTTGGCGATTCTCTGGGTGTCCCTGCAGACGATGGGACTTTTGGGACACTCGATCGGCACTTCCAAGTTACCCGCCTCTCTGCAAAATTATCTCGCCAGTTACAACGGTAGGAATAGCTGATGCTGCGCGTTGAGCAAGGTTTAGTGATATTTCTTTGCAGGATTCCCAGTCAGCAATTACGGTCATAAGGCCGTCGTGGGCCGTTTTGAAAATCGGCGATTCCCCAGAATCGATGAAGCGACACTGAACAACTCGATCGCATTCGCCCAGACGTTGATCGGCCGTATGAGCACCCTCGAGAAGAATATCGCGAATGCCGGTGTCGAGCTCCAGGCGCAGAGTCCGGCTGAGAAACAATACTGGAATTCCTACCCTTCTGCGGACGCGTTCGAGAGGAGCATCGACGCCATCATAGCCACAAAGGCATCGTCGTATCTCATGCATCAGAACTGCCGAAGGTACGTACGTTTGACAGCGGGCGAAATGTCATTTGACGGCACTCTTTCGTCCCGTAGGTTCGGCCTGGACAAAAATGACTGTGCTCGCTACATATCGACGTTGAGGCTGCGAGGCACCCAACTCGGGGCAACCTGCGTCGCGATGCATAGCGCGAGCTGCGACGAGGGCTCCAGGTACCGCAGCATCGACGGCAGCTGCAACAATATCGAGAACCCGAGCTGGGGCAGCGCGATGACCGCGTACACCAGGGTGCTCTTCTCCCAGTACTTCGACGGTAAGGTGTCCCTCTTTCTAGCCATTTAACAACCACTCGCGCGATCGTTCTCATCCAGGTTTACGAATTGCATATCGACCGTCGCTCCATACTAGGGAAACAATTGCAATTGCGCGCATCATCCGAAACAGCCGTCCATTTACCGGGATTTTCTAGCAGTTTCGTAGTAGAGCGGCTTTCGAGCGTGCACTTTGTGTCGTCGTGACAAAGAGATCGTTCATTCTGTGTGCAATAATAATCGTACAATTATTTGCAGCCTCTGAACGTTTGGCGCTTTCCTCGACTTTCTGCGATTCCAATCATCCGTCCTATTCCTCGAAGGGTTCATTTCTCCCGTCATACCGGGTTCGGTCGGAAAAAGTATGTAACAGTCGCGCGATATTATTAATATCACGATAACAAGCGTGATATTGTTTCGGCGATATATGTTCGCGGTTAGATGTCACGCGCGCCTTTCGAGAAGCGTATGCAGCAGCGGGAATGCGTCATTGTGGAAATATACGTGATAATTAAAATTCGTGGCGTTTAGTCACTCCTGTACTTTTGTTGGAAGGAGATAATGGGAAAAATAGTCGGCGCGGATATCATCTGCTCGCAGCCGGTCGTAGCAAAACGTGAATAAGTATGGCGCATCGAGGCGCGCCGATAACACGAACAAAGAAACGGTTTGTTTTCAACTCTAAGCAGTTTCAGTCGGATTAATTTCTGCGACGGAAAAAGTGGTATTCTTTCTTTTGCGGACGAAAAGGTTTGGTTGAATTTACTAGACGAACCAGATATGTTTTGATTGAAGAAAATAGAATTTCTGGTTCTTGTGGTTCCTTATAACCAGAAATTCTGTCTCCTTCAACTAAGACGCGCTCGGTTCGTGTTCGCTGTCTGGTAAATCCAATCGAACTTTTTTCCGTATGGAGTCGCTACAATCACTCTCGGGGGATTTTCGTTATTCGAGTGAAAAATTCGCAAAAAGAAACGGACTCGCGTCCGATATGTCTTACGAATCATTTCTTCATTAGACGCTCCATCGCGCTTCCTGTTTTGATTTCTTCAACAACGTGTTGTCTCATCGACGAATCAGCAGTCTCGCGCGAGCCTACCTACCCTACGACATACATTCACGCTGATCCTTGTGGGCGCTAATGGATAAACGTTCATCGATTGGCTTAACAAATTATATTCTGTGATTTGCATTACAGTTGTTGTGCGATAAGGCACATAGAGCATAAAATGCCTGAGTGTAGCAGTGAATAATACTGCCTAGGGCAATAGGGTGCCCCGGTCGGGAGATTCTATCCAGCAGTAGAATGTGTATGTAAACTAATTCGGATATATCTAATAATGTATCATATTTATTATGTAACGCTAGTTCGAGTCTCTTTTCTGTTCTGTACTTGGCGGTACGCGGTTCTCTCTTTTTCTCTTTTGCGAAGGCAACTGTGCGAGAGGACTCGACTTGGGAGTGCGTGCAAATTAGTCTCTCTCTCCCTCTCTCTCTCGCGGTCAGGAGTGTCAGGAGGTCTCGATTACGTAATCGTCTCGGTTGCTTCTTAACGCATCGACGCTTCACACATGTATTGAGGAATCTAATGTCAAGTGGAGCAATAGCTGTGTAGTGCATTTACGATGATCGTGCATATAATTTCCATGTGACTCCATAGAGAAAACTCGCGCATCTTGACAACCCCCTCCCAACTCGGTACACTCGTTCGTACGCCTTCATCGCGCGATCATCTAGATAAGTTTACTGGACGTTTCTGCGAGCGTTCTCGATCCGGCCTGGTCGAAATTTCGGGATCGTCAATTATAACCGACGTGCATTTCTCGCGCGTCTCTACCTACGTTCAATATTGACAGCTCGTCGTTCGACAACGCATCAGAAGTCGCCCAAGTCGATGTAACCCAAATACCTCGCTTTGCAGCACGGGATCTCCTTTCGGGGTACAATCAGCGAACGATGCACAACCGTCGTTAACGACGTCTTTAACCATTAATTCATTCGTTTCTTGCTAAAATTACTTCGCTGATCGTTCCCCGAGAAATCGATTCAAAATCAGAGCAGGTTAGGACGCGTAGTTAGGACCTCGGGAGATCAGCCGGTGACACAGTCTGCTATTTATAAAGCAAGTGGAGAGCTCTTTCATTGTCTCCTCTCGTGCTGCACTGCCACGCGTACCACTCGAAACGTACACGCGCATGCCTGAGCTCGCTAAAATCGGAGTAATCACCACGAATTACTTGCATAATGTTTTCAACATCGCGCGCGCGCGATCCTTCATTTCCTGTTCACAAATTATTGTCGTATCGTTTTGCATCATGATTTTATTCGCGCGAATGACCGAAGCACACGTAGCACCGATTTACTCCGATTTCGCGACTTGGAGCAGTTAACGCGACAAAAGTATCTAATGCGCGTTTTGGGAAGCAGGCATCCAAGAACCGAGGCGCGTCGGACAAACCAAAAAGCCGCTGCCAAGCCCGAGGCTCGTAAGCGCAGCTCTGACGACCGCAAACGATCAGTCGGACGCTAGCAGGACCTTAGCTGTGATGGAATGGAGCCAATTCATCGCTCACGACATGGCCCACACTCCAGTTCGTAAGATGGGTGAGTAGATTTCGAAGTGAGTGGCTTTACAAGATCGATCGACCGATGATATCCGCATGAAATCTTCCATTACGCGGTATATCGGAAGCTAGAAATGACACGAGGAGCGTGAAATTCTTATCATGATTGCACAGTTTCAACGGGGAAGCCGATCTCTTGCTGTCAGCCAGACGGAGACACCTTGTCGCCGCGTCACGTACATCCCGACTGTTCTCCCATCAGCGTGCCAGATCGTGACCCTGTTTACGGCGAACATTACGTTCGATGCATGAACTATGTTCGATCGTTACCCGTCTTAAGGTCCGAGTGTACTTTCGGACCTGTGGAACAGGTACGAAGTTGAATTATAAAAGGATCGTTCCAATCTTTTTTTCCGTCGCATTGAGGATAAGGGTTTTCACCAAGACTGCGCTCGATTCGTTGTGCGAATAATAGTATTAATCTGCTTCCAGATGAACCAAGCGAGTCACTTTTTGGACGGCTCCACGATTTACGGGTCCACTTTGAAGAAGTCTCGCGATCTTCGCACGTTCGAAAGTGGCCGCTTGCGCGTCCAAGTCCGAAACAATCACACGTACTTACCGCAGGGAGATGCCGAGCTCGCGTCTCAATGCGGAGAGAATTGCTACAACTCCGGTAGGTGTAAAATCCCCCGCTTGTATCGCTCTCATTACCAGTAAATGCGCGTCTTCGCCAGGTGATGATCGTGTAAACATCGAGCCTCAATTGGCCGCGATCCACACGGTCTGGCACCGCGAACACAATCGCGTCGCCGACGAGCTTGCCAGGTTGAATCCGGACTGGCCGGACGAAGTCCTTTACCAAGAGGCCAGGCGTATCGTAATCGCTGAGATTCAACATATTACTTACAAGGAGTGGTTGCCTATCTTGCTGGGTAGAAGATATACCCGCGCCATCGGCCTCGTAGGGAATGGTTACAGTCGTAGCTACAGTTCCGACGACGAGCCGGCGGTCAGCAACGAAGTCGCCACCGCAGCGCTGCGTTTCCTGAATTCGTTGATGCAAGGAGAACTGAGGTAAGTGTCGTACGAACAAGAAGAGCAATCCTGCCGTGACAGACGATATATTCTCTCTTTCTCACAGTTTACCGGACAATTTGCGCGAGCAGAACAAAACGCTCCAACTGGCGGATCATTTCTTTAATCCGCGTGTGATCGAGTCGGAACAAGTGCTCGACGGATTGCTTCGTGGTCTTGCTACTCAGACCAGTCAGAAAATGGATATTAGCCTCATTCCAGACGTGAGTACAGTATTCAGCTATGGATGGCGATCTTCCTCTTCCTTTCGCGATAAATCGTTTCTGCGTTACAGATGACGAGCAAGCTGTACACCAGTAACGGAAACGACTTGGGCTTAGACGCCATCAGCTTGGACATTGAACGTAGCCGCGATCATGGTCTTCCAGGATACAATTATTACCGCAGATACTGCGGGCTTCCCGCTGCCAGGACTTTTGACGACTTTTTAGATTACATACCAGCGGAGGTAGGGAGCTATTCTTTCGTAACGTATTCTCAAGAATCTAGAAACGTCATACGATCGTTTGTCAGATGGTGATGAAACTGCGCACGACCTATTCACACCCGAATGACGTCGATCTTATCGTCGGCGGAATGGCGGAAAGACCGGCGGATGACGGCATGGTCGGGCCAACCTTCCGTTGTCTCATCTATGAGCAGTTTTCCAGATCCCGACGCACCGATAGGTTTTTCTACGACTCCGCGTTGCAACCGCATCCCTTCACACCTGGTAAGCTAAACGTTCGCATAGGATTGTATTAGCGCGATTCTTAACCAAGGATTTCTCGCTTACAGAACAATTGACTCAGCTACATAACGTCACCTTGGCGCGAATATTTTGCGACAACGGTAACAGCATCACGCACATGCAGCGCAATGTATTCCTCAAGCCGCAAGCAGGGTGAGTCTCTACCTGGGTGCCCCTCTCTCTCTCTCCCTGTCCCATTAAATACGTATTATCACACGCTACTTTCCAGGAATGAATTGAGACACTGTACGGATTTCGAGGCGATACCCAGCGTGGACCTGTTCGCCTGGGCGGAGAGGGCGAAGGCGTACCGTTGAACTGCCCGATTAATTGGCTGGTCACACAACAATTGCATCCGTTCGCCCGAGATGTAGAGCGGGCCTGACGAGGGCGGATTACGGGAGCGGGGGAGTGTGGGAAGCGATTGTGCGAGACTATGTGGTAGTCTCGTCAGCGTCGCGACGACGAGATCGCGCCTCCACGACGAGGTGCTGCGCAAGGCGGAACAATGGCGAAACCACGTGACTGGTCGATTAAAAAGATAACCGGCAGCTAGAGCGAGGTTGCACGGAAAAAAATGTCCTCGCGAGAGAACTATATTCGAGATGACTTTGTCACTCTGCGACAGAGCTTGCTCGCAGGACCGTATTTCCTAACATTATAGTCTGATGATACATGTTTATGGATAGTCTCGTGTGTTTGTGTGAGGTGGTGGACACTGCGAACCTTGTGCGCTTATCCGAATATTACGCTTGCGTATATGATTGCGTTAATTCGAGGCCCAAGTTTCAAAAGTACTTGGGAACTGATCACTTTTGCGATAACTTTAGGATATCGAGATGGCTACAATTGTTATTTAACAATAAGTGACGTTATCTCCAATTGTGTGAGAATCCAAGTATCTGATTAATGAAGATGGAACGGATCTCTGACCAGTAAATATAATCATAGGATCAGAAGCATATCTCAAAATCGAAGAGTGCACTTTTTCATTTTTGATAATAATCTGAATGACTCTCTCGGACGAAGCTATAACCGAAAGCAATAATGTATGAAACGGTGACTGATGCTATGATAGATTTTTAACTGTTGAATATTAACGTGAATCTCCGAGATCATTTTTACGAACCCTCTCTCTTTCTCTCTCTGCTTTCTTCCTCACCCTATCAAGATATTATTTAGTGTTTTATATTTTGAGAATATAATATTCACACGTTAAAAAGTCTTTGACTTTCCCTTCTTTTAGTCTAGGGTAAGAATTAGTATTGCGCTGGATATAAAAGGAATACCTTATTTTTTTATAACGATTAACGTATTCACGTTAGTCGAAGGATATGTCTTCTTTACGTTAGAAACTTCCCACATCTGCCAAAAATATTTATTTCAAAATGAGCCAGTTTTACAACAGATTTGTGAAAACGATTTGTTAAAAAGAAACATAGTCATCGAACAATTTTTAACAATATTGTTAGGACAGCACTATATGCGAATAAATTATGTTTTGCCAACTATACTATGTCACATAACTATATATGTGTGTATATATACATATATACCTACACACATACGTTCGAAATCCTCGATTCTACAGTTTAAAGAGAAAAACGATTTACATCGCTTACGTTCTCGCGTATTTAATTTGGTCTTTTTGTACAATATAAAAATATCGATGCTACAGTTGATCTTCTCTTTACTCAATATCTCTATATATTCTTTCTTTAATAAAAATATCGGACGCAATATCGCAGGGTCTTATGAGTCTGATAGAGCAGTCGATGTGCAGAATTTTGAAAATACATCCAAGAAAATTTGGCTTCAAAAGAGTTATAAAAACGGAGGAACTAGGACTCGTACATTAACTATTTTGTGTTAACGCGACGGCGTTAACGTTATTGTTTCGATATATGAATTCCTTATAAGAATCGGTTTTTCAAGGTTGCGATATTAACTTTTAAAGCTCTAAAGAAAAATCTGCATTATCACTGATTACTCGACTCTTTCGGAAAAACAAAAATGCAACTAGAAAAATGTTTAGAGCTTCTCTTATTTATCATTGCTGCAAACTCTCGAAGACGTCTTGAATACTTCGCAAAAAGCCATCTTGCATTCATTTTGGTAGCATTGTTTTCTTATATTCGTGAGAAATGGACGGATTAACTGTGTTCCTGCGGAAACGTGATTCAAGAAACACGTTAATGCATGCCACCTGGCACAAAACGCGTTATTCTCGATCGATCGTGTGATTCTTGTATATATACTGAAGCGTGAAAATATTGTAGCTAAGATATATTGTACGAGGGGAGAGAAGTGGGGAGTACTCTCAGAAGATTACTTTCATCTGTTTGGTTATAAACGTACGACACACTGGACAAATCTTGATGCATTTGGCGCAATCGGCGCAAGTCAGCAAGTGGCCGCACGATAGAAACAGTTGGGATATTTCCCCGTCGAAGCAAATTTTACATATTCTCGAGTCACTGAGAGATTTGGAGCATCCAGCCTCCGCGTCGAATAAATTCTCGTTGCTGTCCTTAATCGACGAATTGTTACTCGATATACTCTCTACGCCGCTATCGTCATTACCTTGAGAACTCGGTCCAGGAGATCCAGGAAGATAATTTTCCTCGTCGAACTTCCCATGTTCAGTTTCCGATTCGGCGTCTATCGACAGCTCCACTTTCGCGACATAAGATGCCGTCTGTAACTGGTTATTCTATCAGGAATAAACGTAAATATTACGGGAAGCATGTGATGATTTCTCTTAAAGCCTGGCAATACTTGCAACTTATCAAGCGACTCGCGAAAATTGTGCAATATATATATACATATATACATACATATATATATATATATATATATACTTAATATATATATACATTTGCAATTTTACAATAATTACATGTACAATTTTATAATATATATATATATATATATACATTTGCAATTTTACAATAATTACATGTACAATTTTATAATAATATATATATATATATATACATACTTAATATATATATATACATACATACATATATATGTGTATATATATGAATGCAAAAGAAAAAAGATGCTCACGTTTTTAGGAGAGATGGATTGACCTGTAACCTTTCCCACGTATCTCGATCCTTTAACCTCGTGTAGATAATAGCAATTCGGATACCACATAGCATGCTGTTCCCAGGGATCATCGTTGGGTTCCCAATGTTTCACTCCTACGCCGCAATGAAAACACAACACCTGGTCCTTTTCGCCTGTATAGTAAAATCCTGCGAGCGATAGCTCTTCCGGACTCTGCTTTAAAAATGTGGGCCAGTGCTCGAAGGTACGAAGGCGCGCCTCGTACAATTTGTATTCCGGATACTTGGCGCATGACGAATTAGTGGGGTAGAGCTTGTAATAATCCGGTGGAAGATCGCATTCGTACGGTCCGCAGACATCTCGATCTTCCGTCATCGGTGACGCGATCGATATATCGGGTGCAACATCGAACGACACGTTATCGCAAAAGGCATTGCGAATGAATTTACACGTTGGAGATTGTCTTTCGTGATCTACCATGGGATCGTCGCCCTCTAGCCATTTGTACATCTCCGTACCACACTCGAAACATCTAACAATATCGAGTTCTCCGGTGAAATAGAAACCAGCTGCCACAAGACTTTCCGGCTTCATATATGACAAGGGCCATTTTTCGAAGCTTTTTAGTCTGATAGCCTCGTATCGATAATCGGTGCCGTCGTCCACCTCATCGATTGTTGTATCACGTGGTACATTCATGATTGACATCAATAGCTTAGCTGGAGTGAGCATGTTGAATTTTGGCCTGTGTAACGTCATTCTATACTGAGTAAGCGTATAATTTTAGACATAGATGAATAAAGTCAGTACACGACTTTTACTACTAACGCGCATTTACTAATGCGCCACGAGGGGACATCCTCGCGTTGGTAAAGCTACGCGTATATATTTTCCTTTCCTACGTATATCCATTTCCTCTTGTTGCAGCACAATACTTACAAATTTAAGATGTTGCGAGACGAAAGTTCCCATTGGCCTGACATGCCGAGTGAATCGTTGCAGCAAAAATTTTCTAATTCTAGATATTGACACTTGTGGACACTATTATTATACACATTGTTGTAAGCGTGATGATAAATATGTGAATGAAAGTCGGACCAGCGTGCCCTTCGACGCTGCCGAGCGGGCAGTAACGTTAAGACCCACTGAAGCCCCGAGGCCTGAGAGAACGCTTTCACATGCTCGTGCTCTTTGTCGCTCGTAACGGGATAAAACAGGCAGCGCTGCCTGCTCAAGTTATCTCTACTCAAAGCTAACGTCAGCAAGCATTCCGTCGAAACTTTCGAGAAACATAGGAAGGCGGATGTCATTATTCCGAGTAGTCCAGATAAAGAAGAACACACATTGTGTGTGTATGTGTGTGTGCGTGTCGCACGTGTGAGATACGGCTATGAGATTTGTAACAATTTGGAAAAGAGATTGACGCGCAAATATAGTGATAAATATCTCTTTCTTTTCTTGCGCTGAGAAAAATCGTGAATGAAATATCGTGTGAAAGAATTCTATCTCTCGTTGAAAATCTCGCGATAAGATATAGAAAAACAGGTGATCCAAGTGATCTTTAAGTAAGCGGCGTGTGATTTGATTAATTAAGAAAAATAAGAAAATTGAAAATGAACATTCATCCATGGCAGGTAGAAAAAAATTGCAACAAAGGTACAATGTATTCCGACTATCTTAACACAAGGAATGCAGGTACCTGCGCGACAACAGAATCTCTTGTTACGATCCTGCATTTACCTGCACTATAGTGAATTCCTTTCCTCTCCATTCCGGAATGGAGTATCCTTGTAGTACCAGCACGAACGGAGCGTCGCACGAAGAAATAATATGTATTTGAGTCTCGTAACTCTCGATGGATTTGAAGATTGTAACTTTCGCCAAGTTATAATTATTTAATTTCACGTGCAACTATATAGACTTTTCCTCTGCTCTCTTCCCTCTCCCTTTCTTTTAAGAACGAATCTCTGTTAATTGCCTTGCGTTATTAAGATAAGAAGTGAATACCAAACGTATATATTGTTTAGGACAACGTAATAAAACCATAAAAGATACGAGAAAAATAAAAGACTTTAATTGTTCTATCGTTGTATTGCTCATTTAAATACAATACGAGAGATACGTTGTACCAAATAATAACCGAGTCTAAGAAGCGGTGGCATATTTTAAAGAAGATCCATTAACGCGCACAGTTTTCATCTCAAAATAGATTTTTGCATAATATAAATATATAAATTTTTGTTCCAAGTAAATATTTGTCCCAAAGCACGGTCTAATCTGCTATCTCGCTTCTTATCGCAGTTGGTAAAGTGCGTCGGCTTCCTGAACTTTTATCCGTTTGCTTTACTGACGTTATACTTTATCGTGCCAATACTTTATCGACACCGTTATTGAGTCAATTACCGTTCTCCGAAAGATGTCGTTAGTCATTTCTCTCAAACATTCAGGAATAAGAAATAATAATGATCACATAATGATTTATGCTAAAAATAATGATTTATAAATCCCAATTATTTATCCATAATCGCAATTGTGTTTCTCGTCGCATAGAAGGCAAATTATCGATATAGCACTTAATGTGCCATCGTTATCGGTCAAAATGTCATTAGTTTCAAATTAAAAGGCCAATAAATTTTTCACAAAGATACTTGATTTCTCTCTCATAATAGCAATAATAACGAGATGATCTAAAGTAAAACACGTGATTAAATTATTCGCTACATTCGCAAATAATTGCATCATCGATATGAAGGCGAGAAAGGATTTTTTGAAGATCCTATATTTCTAAAGATTAGAGATCTACAAGAATAATCTGAATGGCCTTCAGAAAAGATCTGATAAGAATAGTGAATTGAAAGCGGATAACCACTTACGAAACAAAATTGCACACAGAAAGAATTGAGCGGCTGGACATTTGCAGGTGACCGATGCATATCGAATTGAGCTTTCGGCAGTGTGGAGTTGTCGACAAAGTAGTATCCCTACACTTTCTCCCGCCATTTATAAAGTTCGGCCCGTATCCGCCGCTCATTCAGTTGTCGACACGTGCCGAAGGAACACTAATTATTACAGTCGCGATTTCCAAATCAGGGAAGGTAGTGCAAGTACCTCCGCTGGGACCGCGCGAACAAAGTGTATTCTAGATTCGATATTCTCTGTGTTAATTAAGGGTTGAGACCGGTATGATATCGGTGAGTTAAACTCGCGATTATCCCTTGTTTTAGCTCCGAATCGCGAATAACGTTAAAATCGTGTTCGCATTTTCGCGCCGGAAACTGATTCAAAATCAGAATCGTAATAAAGTAACAGGACTGTTAATGTGAGAAAAGAACATACATTTTTTTTACAAGCTAAGGTTGTTGCCCTCAAAATCAATTCTCTGGGAAGCAACGCAACCAGATGGAAATATGTCACAGTATCAAAAATCTTGCCTGCTTTCGATTGGCCGGTTACGGCATTTCCGAACTTTTTTAATTGAAATGATGACTTCATAGACAGTTATTCATTCTTGTGAATGTAAAAAAAGCTCTTTCCAATTATAATCAAATTTCTATAGATTTTTATAGCGCTATCTTGAAGTTGGGGATGCAAAGACTTCAGTGACGTTGCTCAATATTCCTTCGTCCCATTTTCGTAACGTTCTCAGCAAACACACCGCTAGTTACTTGACAGTTACTCAGCATAAAGTAAAAGAACAAAGATACACGTAATATTAATATTTTCACAATTTATTAAAGTCCAAATACATTAGCTGCTTTTGACCTGCTAACTTTCGATATAAAAAAATTTGACTTGTTACTTTTTCATGCGGATCTTGCGCTTTCAATCATCTAGACTCGACTGTTGAGAGAAGCTACCGCATTAATTAAAAAGTCTATTATTCAAGAAAAACGGAAGATAATTTTCTCCATCAAGTTGTTAAGAAACTGTCCTTGATTGCGCTTATTTTATCATCCGAATTCCTTCGATCGGGAAATACACGTGACTTGTGTAGCTCAAGTGCTCAAAGTAGTTGAATGCGCGGTCTAGTAATTGTTATTGTCTTTTTCTACGAATGGCGAATACTGCCGGAGCACTGCCCTCGATCGATCGAACCAAATCTTCATATATGATACATACGCAAGGTTGTTCCTTGTTAATCAATTTAATCATCGACCTCCAGTCAACCAAATTACGAAAGTATTCTGCATTACTTCTATGTCACATGATATTCTATTATGTTATTCCACACCATGCTATATATATATAGGATTGCACAACAAAATAGTTTCTCTTAATTAAACGCGATGTCGAGTCGACATTTTTCACCGTGCACAACAAAATAGTTTCTCTTAATTAAACGCGATGTCGACTCGACTTCACCTGCTATAAAAATTCGTGTGATTTACTTTTTCACCGTGCACAACAAAATAGTTTCTCTTAATTAAACGCGATGTCGACGCGACGTCGCGTTTAATTAAGAGAAACTATTTTGTTGTGCACGGTGAAAAATGTCGACTCGACATCGCGTTTAATTAAGAGAAACTATTTTGTTGTGCACGGTGAAAAAGTAAATCACACGAATTTTTATAGCAGGTGAAGAAAACTAATTAGTACATTACAGACTGACGCGATTAATACAATATTTTAACAGCCAGTATAATCCATTCTTCAATATAATTCAACGTGGCTTTTCATTATGCGCTTAAATATGCGTTTCACTCGCAAAGTCAAAAGGTGCCGAAGCGAAGAGAGAAGAAAAACGCAAGTGGACGTTGGGTTGCGCGAAAAGTCGCGGTCGAGTCGACAGCGCTTTGTTAATTCGCAGTTGGTAATAAAACTCGGACAACCTTCGACTGTGGGGTACGAACTGCCGCGGATTGTGCAAACCCGTTGCGAATAAAGGGGAAAGCCGGACGGCAATCGGAGATCCGCGCGGGACCTTTCCGCCCGCCTTCTCGGGAAGGTTACTGCTGCAACCGGAAAGCGCAGTCCGAATGCATCGATCCCATCTAGGGTTGAGAACATTGTCTCGGGGGTTGGGATGTATTATGCATGAGATCTTCCGCGGATACACGCCGAGATCACCGGCGTTCCGTCTTAATTTCATCCGGATCATTTAAGCACAAGTGCTTCATCGAAAATGAAGAGTCGGACGACTCGCTCGTTCGCCTCGTTGCCGATGAACAATTATCATCGAAAAATCTAAATACATCGGGGAGATGAGAGAGACCGCCGAAAGAAAAGAAAATTACTAATTTAACACGTTCGAGTCTCAATGAAGAAAGCCTCCTTAACCGAAAATTAGATTAACTTCGTACCGCAACACGCAATCACCGTAGGAAAGGTGTCGCTCGCTATTGTCATTGTTGCGCCATTCATTTTTTGTACCACGCGTATTAACTAATTGTCGGAAAGGCGTTATCGTACGTATCACGAGCAAGAATGATTTGAAATTAGAGTAAAACTTCGTGTCGAAAGGCGTCAATGAATTTCATATCTCGATATTTCAAATTTTATCAAACCAGAAGTGCGTACGGTCTTTTTTCTATTCTTTGCTCTTACGCAACCACGTTTCAATTATAAATGTCGAAACGTACTTGCACGCGCCCAGAAGCATGTTATTATGCATATTGTAATAGACGACGACGCGGGATCAATATTCATACGATGCAATCACTAATGAAAACATAAAATAGGCGCAATCGAGTTTCTATTTGTGTGGATCGAATAATAGCCCATTTTCCGCGGGGAATGAATTTGAGGGCTGGCTTGAGTTTTTACGCAACCAAGTGCCGCAATCTATTGAAAAAGAATCTATTAGTAACCGGAATATCACTTAATGAGAACATAATAAACGTACGAATTAGTTGTCCAACGTACTTGATTGTTAGAGATAAAATACTCTTCGAAGTATATAGATTTCCGTGCAAAAAGTTGATTGCGGTACGTCGGCTCATTGATTAATGTAAAATGATAATTAGGTCACAGTTACGTGCAAAATATGGCAAACTATGCACGTGTTCAAATGTACGTCCCGGTAATTGTACGAGAAAGACGCATCCGGAAGATGAACAAGGATTGCGGTCGAATTTCTATGCATCAACGAGAAATTGAATTACCGTCGCTGTGCCAATGAGATATAAGGTCTGTTCGTTTTCGCTGTATCATTGAACTAGTGCAATAAGTTGAAGTGAAAAAACATATACTTGTCTCGCTTCAACTTATTGCACTAGTTCAGCGGTGCAGCGAAAACGAACAGACCTATAAATACCGCGGAGCCAGGAAGTTTCTTCGTGGAGAAATAATATTGCACTTTCCTTATTCGTCGAATTTATCACACACATTCGAATTTCTGACCAATAATACGAAAAGAAGAAAAAAATGTTTATAAACGGTGTTTCGCGTGCGATAAATTTATTCTCTAATTAATGGTGAAATATGCGTTGGAGGACCAATCCAGCAAGAACGTATAAGAGCAGCTGGTGCGCGCGGAAATAGCTTTCCTCAAGATCACACCAATATCCGCGCGCATGATATCGACATCCGATAAATTCCAGAAAATTTCTGCAATTGATTTAGAAATTGAAAAACGTGCGTTATCATATTATCAGCAGCTTTTTATTAACATTTGGAATAAATTTTATCGTCTTTTGTATACATTTCTTGCTGACGTTTTAACGTAGGTCAAATCGTCGATATATATTATAAGACACTGCGAATTAAACGCGGTTTTGTGTTCCTCTTTCAAGAATATGCAAGGTCAGAATATCTTATGGACTGCAGGCGTCCTAGTCGCGGCGCTCTTGCAGACGGTAGCAGTCGTAAACATGGAGAATATAAAAGGGCGGGCTTCTACATTATTCCCAGGTAAGTAATTCTTCCTTTCTTCTTTCTTAAGCGGATAAATCGCGTGAAAATCGGGCAAAAACGACGCGGCTTCTTCATCAAATAAATATCAAATAAATATACGCGCTTCCGCAAATTTAAACCTTGATTCTACAAAATATAGTGTTCAAATCTTCCACCAGGTTGATGCAAGCAAAAAACTTGTAATTTTTCTATTAAATTTTTACTTGTAGAAAAATAGTGATTTAAGAATTAAGAACAACGTAAGGAAGGTCTCGTTAGATATTCCAAAAAATACTGGACCGGATATTGTTTACTTTTTTCATAAAAAGTATCAGTACTTAAAAATTGTATAATTTCGTTTCCAATTTTATTATAACGAATACGACAAACCTTTTACACTAACCTAATGTAGCCAGAAATGAAAAGTCAAATCGACGTCGACTGTAATATAGTTTATCGACAGTGGAAATTATAGTCGATTCAATCTAAATATGGGTTTAAATTTCGACCGGTCATCAAGACATTAGTTTCTGTAAATATAAAATATTGTTTACAATAAAATTACAAACGAGATAAAATAGACTAATTTTAGATTATAATTTTTTTGTTTAAATAAAAAAAGATTGCAAGAAATCCTTCACTGTCCAATACGCCTATTAGTTTGTAACGTAACAAGCATATATTAATTAGACGATTTTGATGACAAGTGTTTTATATGCTGTGTCTTTTCCGATTTAACGTTCCACTAGCGAAAGTCTTGCAGCTACTATTACAGCTGATTAGAACATTTTTCAGCTTCTTTGTGACTTGGAAACTTATATGAATTATTTAAATGATATAAAATCAATATTTGTTACAAGGTCGAGAATGACAAAAATATCGACTGATATTCAAGATTAGCAATTTATCAAATCGACTTTTCATTTCTGACTAGGTAACCTGATAATATTGCGCAAAGCATCCAGAAATAGTCTCCACAACCAAACTACTCGAAGGAATCAACGGAATAAAATTTGTAAAAATCATAGAATACGAAAACCATGTCACACATATTGTAAATATGTACGAGTTATGTTCCGTATGACCGATTAGAAACGTGTCCGGCTTCGCAATTTTACACGTTCTACCATTTTATCGGAACTTTCAAAAGCTCATTAACACAATATAACCTGCTTGAGTTGACTTTAAAACTCCGCAGGTTCTAATGGTAAAAGGCAACGCAAGATATTTTCTGACGCAAGCCCACGCAATCTGTTTTAGGCACGCACCGTTCTCTCTCTCTCTCTCTCTCTCTCCTTAACATCCTTTTTTCCCCTTCGGTAATTTCGACCATTCTCTCGTCCCAATTACTTCACATGCGAAAGAAGAAAAGTGACCGTACCGATTAACATACGGTCGGCTTCTTACATCATGGAGGGCCAAAGTGTTCTGCCGGTTTTTAAATTCTTTTCTTATCTTCATCCCTCGTCAATCAAATTTCGGATTGATGGTCTGTCGGAAGAAGATTTTAGATGAACTTGAGAAACAAAACTGTTCGTAGATCAACGCGTCGACATAAATTGCATTTCATCAGCAATTAATCGCGTGTGCAACGGATCATGACACACGCAAACGTTTTTCGCGCCTCGGATTCGTCCGAGGATATTTAGTGGCTTGCCGCGTATATCCGCGTTCGTTATACTTTACGTAAGTTTGCGGGGGAAACACAGCGATCTGCTTCTACGTTCAAATACCCCTACTTTCTCTAATGGCAGTAACAGGATTAATAATCGGACCGGGAGACACGACAGCGTGGAGAAGGAGAAACACTGCATATACGCGGCACGTTCCTTGTGCAACAGGTGGGAGTTAATGGCAAGAAATGGCACGTGAGATAGAAAATGCACGCAGGTATGCGCGCTGCTGGAATGCATGTTACATTTTCGCGAGAAGGTCCGCGCGAAGGTGTGTATCGGACCGAACCGGCAATTGTCGAAGGTTTCCCTTTGTCTTATTAACGTAACTATTTAACCGTGAAATGTATACACTTGCACATCGTACATGCAATTCGCGATGAAAAATAATATTCGAGCTAGCATGCTTGAACCACTGACAGTCTGTGACAGCTTCATGTTATATTAATGTGGGTATGGAAAGCAAGATTTATTGCACGATTTTGCGCCTCGATATCATGTACATTTTTGTACAGGGGTTTATAATAAAATAGAAAGATACATTAAAATATAATATTCAGGTGTCGAAAAATGTCGGGTATTTATGCTTTTTCGCGTTCATCGATGAAATTTATACCGAGTAAAGAGAGAGTTAATATTATGCACGTATCAGAGAATATTCTCTCACCGTGACATTCAGGTGTCCCGGATAATTATCGAGTCGTGCCGACGTGAGCTTGTCACCGTTGTAACATTTAAACATCGAACGAAATGTTTCGAAATATTCTTCTCCTTACTCGATAAATCAATGTTCCGCGCAGTCGCGTATAGATCACAATTCGTTATGCTACCGATCCATCTAAACGATCATCTCCGGCGGTCTGATAAATCGGCGAAAAAATTGGTACAAGAGAATTTCGTTTAATTCAATCACCTCCAGAGAGCAATTTAATGAAAAACATTTCCTCGTCAATTAATTATAGTACATATGCCTTAACGAGAATTGATCACGTATCGAGGCGATCTGTCGTCGGTGTAACATTTAACGTTCGACTTTAAGCAGTGAAAGGTTCGTACACGAATCTCTTTAGTCTATCGGGATTTATGTACAATTGCCGGTTCGGCCTCTCGTCGGCAGGTTGCGATCATTGCCGGATCCGATGGCAAAATAGGATAAACGAAAGGAGATCTCTCTAGACAATCGGATGCAAAGTCTGCGTGAGATAAATATCTCCCGTCGTGAATGAAGTACTCGATCGTTCCGCGTGGGAAAGTCGAGTAGTCACGAAGCGAATGCTAACAGCAGCAAAAAGCTAGAGAGATGACCGCAGAGGGATAAGATTATTGAAAGTAAAACGTCAGGAATTACCTTTGAGCTATCGCTGCTGTATTAAGATATCGTTAACGCGCGCTACCGATAATCCGTGCGACTGAAATCTTGTAATGTTCTAGAGGAGCGAGAAAAGGAGCTTTCGGATCTAGAGGAATCGGAAGCAACGTATCCCGGCTCGTCTAATATGTTCAATTCTCTTTATCATCAGACAAATCCGAGTTTTTCGTATTTCCCATCTTTGCCAAACTTTTCGGGTTCCACGTAAGTTTTGCGTGAATCGACGCTCTTTTAAGTATATGATAAATTTTGCCTACTTGATAATATTCGTCCTTCAAGTTTCTCCTTCGATTTCGGTCAAAATACGAGCGATGGTGTTCATCAGCAAATCAAGTGCGGCGATACTTTTCACCAATCCTGCCAGTACTCGCGATACCGAAGCTACGATGGTTCGTGCAACAATCTTGGAAACCCCACATGGGGCCTGGCTAACACGAGATACGGAAGACTCGTACGTCCACGTTACAGCGACGGTAAGAAAATTATGTAAAACTCGAAAATATGCATTAAACAAGGTTATCTTAAAAACAAGCAAGAGTTTTTAGCGGCGAGTTTTGCGACTTCTTAACGACTTTGTCGGAAGTAATTCCAACTACCGCGTGAAAAAGAACCGATTTACATCCTAGTCGGAAGTAATGGTAATAACTGCAAGAAAAAGAACCGTACTACCCTAAGCAGTTCGTAGAACTTTCGGGCAAAAGAAGGCTCGAGCCGGCCTCGTGACGCTAGATTGTATCAATTCACTCTCGTCGAGCTAACGGATACACTTTTTAAATGCTGTTACGCTCGACTTGGCGTAAGCGGTACACAAGTGGTCCCTGACTGTAGAAAAACATTTCGACGGTTACTCATTTGCGATTTTTGCTATCTCACGTACCTTTGTCCCGTACCGTGCAATACCTTTGCACACCAGAGCGGATAAATTCTGATTTATCTGTAACACATTCTGATATCAACTTTTAATCGAAATATAACAAAAATATCGATCGATTATAAACGCTCAATTTTTGAATATTCTCTGTGATTTTTTTTATTTTCTTAGATACATTATAGGCCGATAAATCTTTCTTTAATCTATGAAAGTGACGAGATAAGGGTATATTTTTGTTGCATGTTCAAACTTGCAGTTTGAAGTGATCTTTGAATGTCGAGAACTAACGTCTCGGTTGAAAGCAAATCCGATTATATAATGCAAAATCAATTTATGATGATATTTTATGTTATAAAAATCGGCGTGAACATACATTTATTGCGTAAACATCAAGTGATATTCGAGTGGAGATTAACGTCGCGAAAGTTTGTTTATAATTATATAATGCAAAATGAAATCTCTCGGTGAGATATTGCTCACATGGGTACATCTCTTTTTTTAACGTTGAATCATTGAAAAAAGAAAAACGTTTGTTCTCGGGACAAATTTTGCATCGTTATCGCATATTACGTTCTTTCTACCGAACGATTTGACAATCATCGGATGGTCGTTACTTTCCACAACAAATTTATCTCAATTCTGGTATGGGTTCTCTCGACTGATTTCGCTGTGATAATTTTTTATGCGGATAGAAACACGATGAATAAATTTAGCGCATTGAACCATGACATGGCATTTAACACGTATGTGAAACTGGTTTATACATAATTTTCCAATCTACCTACACGGTACGGATACATTTAACCAGACTTTTGTAAAAATGCACTAAAATGATATCTAGACCTGACAGTCACGAGATCATTACATCATGGTATATTCATAACTGCGAGGGAACACGTTTGCGTAGAAAGGCTTTCCGGCTCATAAAAGATGATTTCACGTAGGAATTCGAGCACCGCCGAAATCGGTCACTGGCGCGAACTTGCCGTTGGCTCGAACAGTCAGTTACACGATGTTCCCGAACCTCAACATTGACGACAGAATATGGACTCTGGTAGCGATGCAGTACGGACAGGTTATAACGCATGACATGGGTCTGATCGACGGTACAACTCAATCAAGTACGTTTCACGCCTTTCGTTCGGATGCTATTGCGCGTATTTATAACAAACCTGAAATAATAGACAGGCCATGATGAGCCAAGCGTGGATAAAATAGTGCTATAATAGCGAGAAATTTAACGAGTTACTCGTATAGGAGGGATTTCGATGAAATGAATCTTCAAATATTCGGTATTGAACTCTCTTCAGTAATTATAATATAGTAAAGATAGTCGTAAACACAATAATGATCGAACATATAACATAATGTACGAACAATAATGATCAAACGTTACAAGAATTGTCAAGGTGAGAGATCAAAAATAGTGCAGACAAATGGAAACACGCGACTCAAATGACCAGGCCATAAGATAGATATAGATCTTATAACGCAATAATGAATAAATGTAACGAAAAACAAAAGCCTTTATCTAACGGTGAAGTATTCCTTACAACTCCGCGCAAAGTCCCCTCACACGAATCACTTGAAACAACAAATAACAAGCAAGCCCCGTTAACGTGTCTCTCTTTCTTTCGCGTAATCACAGCGTCACATAGCACGCGATGTTGTACCTTCGACGGACAGATAACATGGGAAGCGGCAGCGAATCCTCGGTGCTTTCCGATGCTTATAACTCAGGAAGATCCGGTCTATAGCAAATCCTCCATACGATGCCTGAACTTTGTTCGTAGTACGACCGACCTTGATCGGGGCTGCTCGTCCCCATACATGCCGGCACAACAGGTTTCCATTACGTTCATTCATATTACATCACACGCAAATGTGGGAACTAGAACGCGGAGATAAAACGTCCTTATTGTCGTACGACAGACGCAGCGCGAACTTGACATTTATAAGATCGACGCTACTCTTGGGCTATTTTTATCCGAATAGATCTTGTAATTTTCAATCGTTCTTCAATCTCTGTATTCGGCTCTTCCGACCTATCGATAGCTCTCCTCCGAAGGAGGAGCGATCGATACACGAGCGGAAGTTCACAACATTGCGGTTATAATAATATTCAGATTTCTCCGTATAACGTAGCGACGTACATTGACTCGGTGTTCCCTATGCTCGAATAGATGCTTTTCAATCAGGCAGGTTTGTTTATTCGATCGGCAGTAACGAGCATTGTTTTTTAGCTGAACACCGTCACTCATTATTTGGACCTTTCGCTCGTTTACGGCTCGAGCGACCAAGTTGCAGCTAGCCTGCGAGCCGGTTTCGGCGGGCGTTTGAACGCAGAACTGAAAAATAACAGGGAATTTCCACCACCGGCATCTAACAAGTCCACCGTATGCGAAGCGATGTACGAATATGAGCCGTGCTACGTTGCCGGTGAGAATAAAAACGAATGAACACAATTTTTGTACGCACCGAATGCGACACGTCTTTCTGGAATAATACCAAGTCCAAATTCTAATAACACGCCCGGTATTATTCTAGGTGATATACGAGTCAATCAAAATCCTCAACTAACAATTCTGCAGATCGTGCTTCTCAGAGAACATAATCGCATCGCGGATTATTTGGCAAAATTAAATCCGCACTGGACCGACGAAACGATATTTCAGGAAACGCGGCGAATTGCCATCGCCGAACATCAGAACATTGTGTATTACGAGTGGATGCCAATTTTCTTAGGTGATTAAACGAAATGTCCTTTTTCATATTACACTTGCAGCATGGAGGAAATTTTCAATGACAATTCATTTGTTTTGAGAGCGACACAAATCTAATTTGGAGCCATAATATTTTATTTCTTTTTTTTTTATACGATACGATTTCTTTATGTTAGTCATCGTTCGATTGAAACCTGAGAAACATTTGATATCGCAGGTCGTGAGCAAGTTTATCGCGACAAAATCATCTACAACACTGACGGCTATGTGAATGATTACGATGAAACGGTTAATGGCAATGTGCTGAACGAACACTCCACCGCAGCCATTAGATATTTCCACAGCCTGGTCGCCGGTAATCTCAAGTAAGCGTATCCCACTATATCCATCAACGCGCAGTAATCTCAAGCTTATCCATTTCAATGTAACGTTCGACTATATATTAAATATTTAAATTGCGTGTCTCAGTTATATATTATACACGAATTAATACGTATGCGCGTCTAATTCTGCACATATTTACAAGTTAGGAGTCTCCACTTAGAAGAATATCGTTTCTAGACTTTATTCATCTCTCAGTGATTTTAACTTTGAAATTAATTTCTCTTTGTTAGCCCTTCGCTAAGATAAGATCGCGAAAGATAGAACTATCGGTGACATTTCTTCGTTCTTTCTCAAATCGCAATTAATGCGAATGAAGTCGAAAATTCTACGATACAAACTCATCGTGAATCGCCATTCTCTAAAGTGGTGAATGTTGTTCGACAGCTTAGTAACGGAGGATCGTCACGTCTCGCCCTTCTATAGTCTAAGATTGAGCGACCACTTCAACAGACCCGGCATTATCGAGAAGGGCAACAATTTGGACGATCTAATAAGGGGCTTTGCCTTCCAGCCGCAAAGGGAAGCCGATATATATTTCGATCAAGAGGTACGCAAAACGTCCGTTAGCTTTACTAGTTCCGGTATTGAAACATATCGACAATAAAGATTTATCTTTTTAAGAGAATAAATATACTGAAGGATAGTTAATAACAAATATTTACAGATAACGCAGTACCTCTTCAGAAGAGGAAGAGCCCTTGGGAGTGACCTACGAGCGACAGATATACAAAGAGATCGCGATCACGGACTCGCTTCTTACAACGATTATCGCGAGTATTGCGGATTACCACGAGCAAAGAATTTCATGGGTTTTGCCGACTACATCTCGTTCGGAGTAAGTAGAACGAGCTATTAAACAAGCTATATGCGCACGTCTGCTATACTGAGAACAAATTTAATCCTCAGGATATACAGAAGCTCTCGATGTTGTACGCTAGCCCGGACGATGTCGAATTAACCGTTGGTGGATCTTTGGAAAAGCATATCACCGGCACGCTAGCCGGTCCGACGATTTTATGCATCATGACGAGACAGTTTCAACAGACACGAATGGGTGATCGTTACTGGTTCGAGACCGAAGATCCGGAACTAGCATTTACGCTAGGTACGTTTGAACAGCGTGTATAAATTATTATGACAAATATTATAATATGAACGCCGATAATTTAAAAATGAATGCTATGATTAATTCAATTAAATACGAACAATTTAATAAACACGAAAAGACAGAGTTATACGTTATCGAAATTAAATTTAACTTTTACCTCACGAATTTCGATTCGTAATTTAATCATTAATTATAAGGAGTAACATATCTCGATAAATATGGATAAATAATACTATACAAATAAATATCAATTGACCGCAAATACGTTCACAGAGCAACTGAACGAGATACGAAAGTCGAGCATATCACGTCTACTTTGTGACAACGGGGATCGCATTCAATACATGCAGAAATCAGGATTCGCACAAGTCTCCGTAATGTGAGTTCGATCGATCGTTCATCTTATCTTCATCGTTTCCATAGATGCAAACTGAAGTTTAAACAATAATCGTTATTATGAATTAATTTCAGGAATCCGCTTTTGAACTGTGACGAACTACCGCGAATGGATCTCTCTTACTGGAAGGATTACGGTCCGGAAACTTATGACACCTATCAGCATATCACGAGTCCGCAATATAAAAAGTAACCAGGAAACATCCGATCCGCGTTACTAAGATACCAAAAGAACTTTTTACTTTCGTGAAACAATAATAGAATTCGCAATTAAATGAAACTTTATACGCACGATATATCGTAAAGTATATTTTAATTTGGAATAATGGGAATAAGTTATCCCATTTTTTTTTTTCTTATAAATAGAGATATGCTGCCTTTTTACACTTTTTTACAGTACTTCTGTGGCTAATAATGCTCGAACAATGGAGTTATTCTTTCGTTTGTCAGGACCAAGTTTCCAAGCGTACATTCGTTATCCTATCGAGTAGATATCGTAAGAGTTCGTTGAAAAAGATTCAAACAAAGATTGTTTGAACAATTTAGCTCTTTTGACTCAATTCAGATTGTAATATACGAAATGTGGATCTAATCGCGTATGAACAGTTAAGCTGTCAAAAAGAAATAAGTTTCATTCTTGATAAAATAAAAGAATAGTGAGTTAGCCGTAAAAAAAGTATTTGAAAAGTGAGTCTTTTTCAAGTAATTTGTATATTAAAAATTGTTTAACTTAAAATTTGTTTACTTTAAACTCAGTTTTAGGCATATATTCAGATACAATAAAACTTTTTAGAAAATTTTTAGAATACAGAAATTGAATTCCTTTTTTTATTAGAAATTGAATTTGGTGTTTTTTTACATATGTTTAATGAAATAAATAAAAACAACACTACTAGAATCCATTTAAGCTACATTGTAATATATTTCCAGGATATCCTACATTTTTTCGTCAAACAAAAACAAATTTTAAATATATAAACAAAATAATTTTTAAATGGCGGGTTTTGCCGTTGAAAATAGAAGTTAGTCAACTTTTTAAAAATAATATTCAAAGAACAATATTCAATAATTTAAATAAAATGCAGTCAGGTATGTCCACAACGATTATTATCCGTTTTTTGGTTCTCTTTCTTTATTAATAACTCGTTTTGACTTAAGAGGCAAACAAGAATTATAGATGGACAAATCGTGGAAAAACGATTTCACTATATAATTTAAAAAAAAGATAGTCGTGTTTATGACGATCATTGTCTGATTTTCTGACAAACTTGATAAAAACAGCTTAAAAATAAAATCACAGTTCTTTACTTCAAGAAGAAGAATATTATGTTGTTGAATCATTGTTACTTTCTATTTTCTTTGAATCTTGTATCTTTAAAGAAGCCAAAGTTATTGAACATAATTTTTTATGATCAAGTTTTTTAAGGTTCAAATCGAGTAAGAAAAAAGTGAGAAAAGTGAGTTTCCTTTTTTTCTAAGTGAGAAAAAGTAAGTTATTTCTAAATAAGTGAAAAAATGAGACGCTCTCGTGCCTGAATCGACGATTACTCTTTCGAAAAAGTAAATAAATATTAAATACACACTCTTGAACCAATCATTTGAAAAGTGATCGAGACGAACTCGTCAAACTTGAACGGTTACTCGATATATCGTCAAGTGCAGTAAATAATTTACAAGCTTATTATAACAAAAATAATAATACGCAACATATGTCTCGACCTGTAGTTATTACGACATGTATAGTATATAAACATACTGTTAATAGGTTACCTTTATATATTGCATAAATTGTGACGCATAATTAGCAATGATTATTTTTATAAAATGCATTTTGCAATCAATTCTCTACATCATCATCAGGTTTACCGACAAAGTAACATTGATAAGCAGATGATAAATTTGGGAAGACCAATATGGTCATCGGTTAATATGAAGGAATATCGATTTATTCGCAATGAAAAGAGAACAAAGTATTTGTGAATAACGTCATTTCATTTCGACCAAATATGTTATATTATCTATAAAAGATACTCGATAACAGATACGCACATACTCATGTATGTATCTATGTATAGTACAAAATAACATTCATGTTCAATAATTTTCAAAAAGGCTTTGTTAAATATAACTTCTGTTTAAATATATATACACGAGGTACGATTGTTCATATATATCACAAGTGTAAAATTTGAATAACATGTAGCGAATACTATTTACGTTTAATACGCAAGTTATTTTGCGCGGTATCTCTTCAATGATTTTTTTTCTTTTTGATAGAAATATAAATATTGATGCAAAAAGTATGCATAAGTATTCCAAAATCTACATATATTCATATTTTTATTAAAATGTAAGAAATTATAATCTCATTGTTTCTTATAAAGATACGCCGTCTTTTCACAATCTCCTATATCTCTACAGTGCCTCAATATCAATCAAACGATAAAATTTTTCTTTTGTTTGTCAAAACTCCAAAATGTATTCGTTAACCTATTGTGCAAATATTTTACGCACACAAGATCTTCAAACAGCGGTCGTTTGAACAATCTCCCAGCTTCTTTCCGTTGATCTGCAGTTACTCTACTATCGTCCAAATGTACCAACCTCGGGAACCAGGATATCACAAAGAGTCTGTTTGAAAAGTTTGATATAACTTGTAAACTTGTAAGCATAAGATAATGAGCTAAATTCAAGATAGATTATTTTATTATCATACCTGTATTGGAGATGATCGTAAGAAGTTCTATCATTGAGGTAACTAGGTGCAGCATTATTTCCCATAAGACACAAATACTTTAGGTTTGGTAGGCTCTTATGGAGATTCTTAATAAAGGGATACAAGTTGTCTATGCCGTTGTGATTTAACCAAAGAAGTTCGAGTTGCGGCATGTATGGAAACACAGTGTATTCATCTATAATGTTGTGGTCCAAGTTTAGGGAAGTGAGATGGTCAAATTCCAATAAGAATTGCAAATTCCTGAAACATGAACAAACTTTGGTCTCAATTCTACTGGGTGCATTAAGAAAGAAGGAGGGAATTAATACAATTTATATACTTTCAAAATTCTTTTGTTACACATGTTACTAACATCTATATGTTTACTTACCTGCTAAACTTATTGTAACTGATATCTAAAGTATTTATGGTGATACTATGTCTCTCTATTATATCAAGAGGCATATATAAGAGATTTTCATAAGCAAGAGACAAGGAATCTGTATATTCTGCAGATAAATCATCCTGAGTCAATGATCTCTTTGATGAATCTTTGATATACCTTTGATGAATATCCCCAAATACTAATTTCCCCAAAGAAGTCATGACAGACCTTTCCTCTTCATTTGCTGATACTTCGCATTTCACCTCGTTAAAAAAAGAGGTCCCAGGCCTGTATGCATAACAAATATAATATAATGGACAATACACAAAAGGTGTATATCCCATGAATAGATTAAATCTATCCCATAAGAACAATAGTAAGTTATTATACAAGTTGCATAAAACAAAATTACTATATATGTGTGAAGGCCAAATTTCTTCTATGTTTTTTGCATAAAATACAATCAAAGCATAATATCATAAATCCATTAACCTATTACAAACTTAGTAAAGAGTGCGTGTCATTGAATTATGCAAACATTTCTCAGTATGCAAAGTTATTAGAGTAAGATTTAACTCCCAAAAGCCATGCAACTCGATAATTATAATTAAGTTGCAAATTAAGTTGCAAGTTGCAATTATAATCAGTTGCAAAAAGAGCTATCAAATAACGTATAGATAATGAGAAAAAGATAACAAGAAGCGCAAGCGCAATCTGCAAGTATAAACATCTTACTTACATCGTTCTTAATTTAAGGGTGCCTTACAAAGCAAATTTATCAGAAAAATCAAAGTATTCTACACTCTCCTCACTCCGCACATGCATCGACAAGCCTAAACCAGCCATCTAAGTTTGGTAGTGAATCACGCGAATGAGCAGGGAAAATTGACTTTCACAAAAAACGATTATCGCACTCATAGCTATTCGTCGCACGAGCTATAATTCGCACTGAAACTCAACATCCGCCGACAGCCATGTGAACTTATCGCATATTGGAGTGGAATATGATAAGATACGAGAGGCGAGGACGAGAACATTGTGAAAATACCCAAAATACATTGCGCTTTAAGGTTAAACCGCTATAAGGTTAGACCGTTAGACAGGCGTTTAACGACAATATTAGTATACGAGATTGGAAAAATGCGTTACGATAGTGTTTCAATGACCACTTGTTGTGCAATAAACTCACCGTTCTCCGAATTGAGTTAATTTGATCTCTTTGAATTTTCTCACATTATTTTGTTTTCGAATCTTCCCACCGACGACCACCGACGACAAACCCTGTACAATACACTGTTCGATTTGTGACTACGAGATGGAGCCATTGTGATGCACACATCATGGCTAACTTGTAAATGCATTAATACAAAAAGATATGTGTGTGTATATTTTATGTCATTCCTCTAGAAAAAATTATTATGTTATTCACGGGGCTGTGTGCAATTTCCCCTTGTACTCAATAAAAAAACCATCGTCATCAAAAGCTAACTCACTCTATGCAATGGTTAATATGTGTGTGTGCGTGTGTGTATGTTTAGGCATGCGTGCGCTGTGTGAATTTATATATACCTCAAAGTCTTAAGGGGAGATATACATCTAGATGGTCGAAAAAATTGATTTTTTTTTTGCATTTTCTTGTTGAAGTTTGAGGTCATTAGAATATCAGGTAAAAACGGTAAAGTAGTATTTCGATAAATAAGCCAGTTACAGCCGAGACGGTGAAACGCGTTTTACAGCGCCGAGCCGACAGGCGACAGGCAGGTAACGGCAAGTGACCTTGCCTAATTTAACATGTCGCGACAATCGCGCGCGCATTACGAAATTCGACACTCCTGGCGCAAACGGAATATGACCGATCCCGGATCCGAGATATTTCGGTGGGTAAAAAATAAAAAGGGATTTAAGATGATGAGTCTGTAAGATCTCGATCGCAATTTATTTCGTATCTCTAATCCGCTTTCATATAATATACGAATATAAGTTCTTATGTTGACTATAAAAGATCGGCCAGATATTTTCATCCCCTCTCGTAGCAAACGGAAATTTCTTTTTAAACCGACGATAAAGTTAAATGTTAATCTGATCTAATCACACTGATATGTCCAAATCCTGACAGATAATAAAGGCAGAAAGTTTGTTGTTATTATCTGTTTGGAATCTGCAGGGTTAATATAGAGCCAAAAAATTTGACTCGACTATTTTTTATATGATTTATTATATTCTATCTTGATAATTTTATACTTTTCTCAGACAGTTTTTCTAAATTCACATTGCACGAATTGTACAAATTTACAATACGCATTGCGCTAATACAGCGTGTATAACTTACTCGCTATCACGAATATTTCGGGAATATTTTTTCAGCTGGAAATAGATATCTTTAATGAAAGAGGATATGCTACAATTTTAAGTTTTATACAGAGTATATATATGTATTATATTTCTCGTCGATCTCACGTATAGGAGGAGGGGACATGCTACGATGTTTATATAACATATTCTTGTATGCACACATATGTTCTCACAAGAACGGGAATAATACGTACATGTCAATTACAACAAGTTTGTCGCGATACAAGCACGTTTTGCTTCTTTCGACGCAAAATTCATACACATCGTCGCAGGCACAAATTAAGATACTTTTACGCCTCTTTCGAGGATATAAAAAAATGATTTGCATTATATAAAATTAAAAATAAAATATAGAAAGCGACTTAATTATCTCCGAGGAAGAAAACATTTGGCAAAAGTTAATTTATAGAATTTATGAACAAATTTATTCGATGTCATTTTTATCCGCATTATATTTTTATATCGTAATAAACAAACACGTGGGATTGAAAATTATATGATAAAGATAATTGGCTAATTTATATATAATTACTTTATTATTGCTCGAAATTATCAAATAGAAATGAAAAACGCACAAATTATTTTGTAATTATATGTGGATCTGTTTCTCTTTCTTCTCTTTCTTCTCTTGTTTGTTAAGATTAAATGTAACAATTAATCTTTGTCTGCATATTATCAATTTACAACGAGTGTTTCATTACATTCATATATCTTTTTTTAGTTTATAGCCGCGTCGTGTGTTCGTTTGATCGTGTGATCGTTATGACTTATGACGGACGAAAGTTCAGCGATTATTATCGTTACATTCATTCTCTAACGAGTACGGAAAATATTCGCTTTATTATTATTTACACACTCGGTGGATTGAATATAGTGCTGTTCCGATACAATACGTTATGTTTATATCTTTACGGGCAGTGATCGATAATTAAAGCGAATTTAAAGAATACAATTTTTCTAAATTGGTGTTGTGTCAACTTTGTAAGTAATTATTTCTTGAAATCAACGTGAAAATATATTAATTACATTCCCACATTTTTAACAAATTACTCAATCGCTTATATAATATAGTACACACTTTCCATTATTGATTTTTTGAAAAGAAAGGAAGAAAAAACATTATATATAATATCTAATATATAATTTCGTAATATAATTTACGAGTGTGTTCCTGACTGCATAATTTACGGCTGTACGATCACGATAATATCGATCACAATGGAATCCTCGTGGCAAAATTTGCAACGTAGCGCAACACCAATTCGCGATAAAGTATTAATATGGCAAAGTTGATCGCCAGTAAATTGAACCACCGTTTACACAAAATGCGTTCTCCCACTCGACGTGTAAACACGAGCAATTCAATTTACGACGCGCAACGCGATGTAATGACGACTACAACTCTACATACTCGCCGTTACACGATGAAGTCATTAATCGAGTAAACGCGCGTTTATCGATCTCCTTCGCGTTTCCGCTACGTGCAGAATCTTTTTTCTTTTTCTTTCTAAACTTTGTATACCGTTATCTTTTCGCAGCAATTAATTTTTTAAGTTTATGGACACGTATATGCATTTAATTAATTTCCTTAATATCTCGACATAAGTAACAGCTGCTTTTTTCAAAAAGCTACTTTTTTTGGCCGGCATAAATAAAACAATGTCTATGGAACATATGAGATTAGCGAAGAAAAGGAAGAGATTTTCATTGTCTGCACAATATGGAGACGATTAGAAAAATTAGCCGTCAGAAAATAAACCAACACATAATGTTTTCAAAAAAGGAAAAAAAAGAAAAGAAATAGCACGAGTGCCAAAATGTGCGCGCGTTTGGCGCGGGCACACCGTTTCTTTTCAATTCTTAAAATATCCTGCAGACCGCGTGCACCAGAGGAAAATTTCTATTTTTTTCTCTTCTCTCTTTCTTTCTCTAGAACCGAATTTCAATTTCGTTGAATTGTACAAATGAATGCTCATCAATGCTGTCCGCGGCACCGCTAACGTGGAAACGAGATTGAAGGCGCGTGAAGGAGAAGCTTACGCGTATTTATAATCTGTCTTTCCCTGAAAAATAAATGTACGCGACAAAAATGTCTTAATCGTCGTTTGATGAGATCCGTGTTTTTCTCTTTCTCTCGATCTCTGGCGTATCGAAACAGCGTTATCACTTTTATAATTTATATATTTTCAGGGGCGTTTATTTACATACTATTCGACGTAATTAGCTTTTCGATGGGGTTATGGATCAATATATATATATATATATATGCCGTAAAGATGAATAGGTATTTGACCCAAACCTTGAGACTATGAAATATTTAGCGTACGGGTAAATTAACGCATTTTTTATGGATCCTGTGAGATCTTTTGGCCTTCGTGTCAAACGTCAAAAGTGTAGAGAGAAGTTAACAAGTTTCGAAATTGGCAATTGGGGAGATCTGTTGCAAATGCCGTCAAAGTGATATCGGAAATGCAGCAACGAAGGAAGAAGTTGCAACGTTAGTTCCTCCGATTCTCTGTTCTGTCAATTCTTTGTTTTGTTTCGCATCAGAGTAACGCGATAGATAAATGCCGCTTTTGCGTATCACTTCGCAATAAGATAAAAAATGAAATTTGCACATGCGATATGATTAAACGACGATAAAGAATAAGGAAAGTATTGATATAAAGTTCTTTCTTCGATTCTTTTGTTCACAGTTACATTCAATTAAATTGACACGAGATGGGCGAGCGGTAAACGAAATAGAGTTTTTAGAGTCTAGATAGACAGAGATTAACAGAGCAATCTCTTTAGTGCACGAGTGTTACATACGGTTACATAAAATAACAATCTGTCGTATAACGACGAAAATATACGCGCGTCTTTTCAATCTCATGGGATGGCGGAGTTAAAAAGAAGTCTTCCCGAATATAAAGTTGCCAGGTACATTCGGGTCGTCGGAGCAGAAATATTGCTTCCACAGGTCGGCGAATTTCTCGCGAGTCACTTCGTTGCCCTACGGAGAAGTAAACAATTTTAGACTAGTGAGACTCGCAACGTGACGTCGTCTTTTTCTCTCTTTTTTTTTTCTCTCAAAATCGATCTGTACTCACCACGTCCAATTTCTTGAATGCCTCGCGTGCCTCGGCCTCTTCGACACCGTGACTGCCGCACACCTTGCTGAATTCAGTCTCGTCAATCGACCCGTCACCTGACGACACAGAAAAAATCGCGTGTTTCAATCTCATATTTTACATGTAGGGGAATTTCGGCTTGCAAGGCCGCGAAGTATTATTAGGAATAGACACGAATGTGGACGACAAGACAAATAAGATGCTCAATTGATAGTTATTATTTCCTCTTCCTAAGGATATCGTTCGGTCGATATTTATATTTTTAACTGTAAAAATGCAATATGTTCACTTGTACGCTAAAAATAAAAAGTAGTATAAATTGTGGGAGGAATGTGACATAATATTTGCGGGGTTTCTCTCGCACCGCGTACTTTACTCATTGAAACGAGAGAGCGTACTTCGCACACAGCACTTTCGAGAGATTTAGAGGATAATGCTGACCGATCGAATTTATAACTGTGATACGCATTCGCCAGAGGACAGAATCGAAGATACACGTCTTTCTCCTTTAATCACTCTCGGCTCGAATAATTACATTTACGTCAGATATTTCTGGAATCCCCGCGTAATAAATTGGCGAGCCATGCTGGCACGGAATAGCACATATTTTTCCGTTCATTTGCCGCGAGCTCGCAGAGAGACTCACCGGAAGAATCTTCGAGATCGAACATGAAGTTCATATATGTCTGTTGCCATTCGAGTGCGTGCGCCGGATCTTTCGCATACTCTTCCCACATCGAGTACCACTCGTCTCGGCTAATCTGAAAGAGAGATGCAAGACCGTTAATATCGCGTACACGTGTCCATGTTTCTGATCGGTGAACCTGTGTCTGTGTTTCCTGCCTTCGATTTAAATTTTAATCGAAAGTCACATGGTATCGCGGAATATTCCTTCAGCTCGCCGAGTGATACGCAAACACGAGCAAACATACCCGACAAGTTATTTTAGAACGTATCCGAACGCAAAAAAACGTTTTAAAAATCGATAAACGCAGGTGAAATGTGGAACTAAGGTATGCTAAAGATTTACAAAGTTATTTCGGAGACTGAAATAGATAGATAGAGATAGAGAGAGAGTCTGGGATAAATTACAACTCGATTTCGTTGCTAAAACGGTCAGAAATATTTACGATACAGCGTACCTGTCCATCCTGATCGGCGTCAGCTCGTTGTCTCAGTCCATCCCAGACTTTAATCAGAGTGTCTCTAGTGTGTTGCGACGTAGAATCGTCCGGCTTCCAATGTCTGGAGTTGCAGATTCGCTGTAACACGAAATAACTGGGAATCAGTCGGAACCCTCTTTGGTCGATGAGCGTGATCGATCGACAAGAATGAAAGCGTAGAAATTGATATATTATGTTATATTTTCGCTTCTGTGAGGAGACGTGAAGAGAATTGATGCATTTGTATACTTACTTGCACAGCAAGATCGAAATCCTTCTTGTCGATGGTGCCGCTTTGATTAACATCTGCGAAAGAGAAGACGATTATTATTGAGATTGAACGCATCTTTGTGAATTATGCTTTTTTTCCTTAAAAATTCAATTGTCCGGCATTTTATTCGTTGAGATATTTTGCGCGCGGCTATTTGTTATTTCAAGTAATATGCAGCCACAGCCCGGCCTGTTATTGCCATTTGCAGAGGAGCATCGTACATTTTTCACTTAAAGGATAAGATGAACGATCGTATGCCACTCGATTTTGGAGCCACACGATCGGATATCGTTAGTTTTCTGAAGATGACCCACTTCCACCGCACCGAGTTTATTCGTTTTCGCATGGCTTCCGCCCGGCTTTATTAATTCCGTTTCGCTATAGAAGGAAACCACCTTGTGCTCTCCTGTCTCCCGTAACTGAAATCCCGTTAAGCGCCGATTACGATTCAGCGAGATAGAACGTGATAGAGAATTTATTGTCTCTCTGGTTGAGCGAGCGGTTGACAAACCCGGGGTCTCCATGGAATAATAATACGAACGTCCGCGCGGAGATGCAACCGGTATTTTTAATAACGGTACAACTTGTTGCAAAAACTCGAAACTCCTCGACAGATTAACTGAATTAATCGAACGAACCGTGTACTGTTCCTCTGCTTAGTAGCCGGATTACGCAAATAATAGATAACATTTCCGTAAGTTAGAACGAATCTTCGAAGCCTCTCACGACTAGTCTAGTCCAACCGAAAGACAGAACAATGGCGGTGAGAATATAACGCGTACATAGGTCACGATGAAATAACGTATCAGTTTCGCGGAGAAGCGTTCGTGGGATATGTTTAGCGGCCAATCGCGGCGGTCAAAGAGGAGCGCGAGGGGTTAATGAAGGCTGCCAAGCGTGTGCACGCCTGTGACCTCCACGATATCTGCGCGATATGGCGCGCACCAACGTGTGCACTTTTACATTATGTGTCGTCATCGTGAAAACGAGCGCGCGTGTACGGCCGTTTCATCCATTAGCTCATCGTAAGTAGGATGCGCGAGAGCTTTTAATAAGGTAGCTGCGGAAACGTCCGATCGAAATCGCTCATAGCAGCTACGAAAATCCGAAACCGGTAGGGTTAGTTTGACGTTGTTACCCAGTAGATCGAAATTCATTATCCAACCGAGAATTCACCAGTTCGTGAGATTCCCCGAGAGAGATGGGGGCGAAAGTTTCGACAATTTTTTCAAGTATCACCCATCCACCTCGTTTGACGACGTTCCCAAGTGAAAGAAACGCGTGCGAGAGAAAGAATCGTTCCTTTTGGTTACGAAACAAATAGAAGTTAATATTGGGGGGATCCTGTTTCGTTATATCCGATACGGTGCAACGCGTAGCAACGGAACGGTCTAGAAGAGCGAGAGAAAACGCTTAGGGCCTATGGGAGTCTTAAAACGGACCTAACCGGTGGTAGCACGCGTAGGATATTAAGACACGTATCATACGCAACCCCGGCGGCGCGTATTGTTTATCTCTTCGTACCGTAAATAGGCGTCTCGCTTCTGCCCGACACATAGGTACCACACAGAGACCGTACAAAACGCTGCCGCGCCGTTTTCATCCTCCGAAAAGCGTGAGGCCACCGACGAGAGCGAGCGACCCTCGAGCGGGCGGACTCCGTATTTCATTCGTGTCGAAACGATACGGCTTGCGCAGCTTTTCGCGGAGGGCGAGTGAAATAGGACCGTTAGGAGAGAATCAAGGGAACCCCGACGGAGAATACGGCGGCGAAGGAGGAGGAATGGTAGCGGGATGCCATCAGGCGAAGATGCGACACCTCGTTCGTTACGTTACCGCTCGATGAGGATTTGTTTCGCCGAGCTGTACGAAACGACAGAAGATTTTCGTCCAACGAGCGCTGCGGGGGCGGTAAATGTTATCTCGAAATGTCGAGGAAAACCGTTCGCATTCGGCCCGGTAACGTTGGCCAAATTGTACGGCGAAAAAAAACCGCAATCCTGAAGAGAAGCTTCTCTTGTTCAGCAAGATTGACAAAACCCGCATAATATGATAATTCTAAGTTTTTCTTTGATCATTTGTTTGATGTCATTCATTGCACAATGATTTTTCCATGTGTAGCGTTGAGAGAAACGAGTTCTTTTTATTTACGCAAAAGATAGCCTCTCTCTCTCTCTCTCTCTCTTTGATATTTCAATAGAGTCCTACGTTGCAGAGAAAGTAAACTGAACAATTTCAACTACGTTCGCTCATTATGCGAAATATAAACAATCACGGGGAAGGATTGTTTAGGATCTCGTCAAAATGAATGGCGTAAAGTCGTGCTAAAAATATCATTCTCGTAATATACAATTGAGATTGCCTTGTTATTATTTGCCTTCGTCTAATAATCAGCTTCTAAAAGGATCGATAACTTCTTATTATGAATCTTTTCGATCGAAAATAGCAGCGAAATTTGCGATATAATTGTATTGCCCTCTTCATTGTCATTAATAGTTGAACGTTACTGTTGATGGAAATGAATACATTTCTATTAGAGTTAACATGAAATGTTTCAACTAATAAGACAGTATACATGCTCATACGTACTTACCGAAGAAAGCGTTGAAAACGAAGAGTAATTTTTTCTTGCGAAACTCCGACAGTGACATCTTCGGACCCTGCAAAGTTGAAAGACAGAATTAGACATTGTAGACAGACCTTATTTAATTTGTTCACGATAATAAAATAACATGATAATCTTGTATGCACTCAACTAAATATGATTCGCGTGTATCATATACACGTGGTTTCACACAATACCGTATCTCTCGATTCGTTCGCGATCGAATGACGATCAGGGTCGATTGTCTCGAGCGACCGACCCTTCTTTTATCTCGAGAATAAAAAGTAATCCTGGCTCTCGCGCGCTTTTATCAGAGCACTTTGTACACATAATCCGACTCCGATATTTGCGAGACCATTATGAAAACACAAATCGCTCGATTTTTTTCTCACGAAACTCCACTGTGTTTAGTCAGAGACGCGATCGTCAATTTTCAATATTAGTTTCAATCCATGTCGGAATATTGCGAGAACGCGCAATGACCAATTAATTACGCGGTTCGATAAAAAGCATCATGCTTACGACTGAGATTGCGAGGGACGATTAACAGCTTTAGAGGGCTTTCCCGCGCTCTCTTTTACTCGAAACGACTGCAGTGTTTTCCAGTGCGGCGTCAGTCTTTATATAATAATCTCGAGAAGAAAAAACCTTTCTTGGTAGCGATAAGGTCGCGCGCGATTCCGACCAGCCATTGACGCATGTTTCGTCATAATTTTTACAACGTTGAATCAGTAATTAGAGTTATCTAACAATATCGCAGGTACACAAGCGTATCGCGCGACGTGTAAGCGTCGCGTAATTCCTCCTTTTCTTATTTTTAGATCGTTCTATATAAAAGCAGTCGATAATTGTCGATTATGTCGCGATAAACGACCCCGATTTTCTTTTAAAGGAGATACGCACCTTCGACGATGAGGAGCTCCGTAATTTAATCGACGCTTAATAACGCGCGCATTACGGTCGCACACTCGGTTAGCGCGCATCAGAGTTTCCCGGCTGTCCTGTTTGCTAAAAACGCTTCTCTCTGAAAGATCGCACGGCAGATTCAAACGCCAGCGTAGCTTAAATCAAATGAGCTTCTTGACATTAACGATGAAGCGACGAAACAATCTATTCTACAACTGGCACGCCTGCCTCTTGTAGATTTGCTGCGACTTAGCGCGATAAGTCAAGAACGCAAATACGATATCAATTTAATTCAATAAATTAATAAACTAACACTTATTTCACAAACAATAATAAGTTAATCACATCGATAATTATTGGGAGTACAAATTAGTTCGGTCCGTTTTCAAAAGATGGCTCTGGCTGTTATGAATGTTTCATAGTGATAGCTGATTTCGGTGGTTTCAGAGAGGTTAGACATCTGTCAATAATATTCAGTTTATATCGCTTTGAGTTTCATATAAAACTCCTGCTTTTTACAGTGTTGAATATGTCAAATTTTGTGTTAACTAAGCAGCATTTGCGGGAGATTTTAGTTTTCTGCTTTAATTGGAAAAAAAGTGCAGCTGAAGCGTATCGAATGCTTGTAGAAGTTTATGGTGACAATGCTCCTACTGATAAATCATGTAGGGAATGGTTTCGACATTTCAAGAATGGTGATTTCAGCGTTGAAGACAAGCCTCGCAAAAAGGGTGTTGTATACTATGAGCTGCTACAACCTGGCGATTCCATTACGGGCCATCGGTATAGGCTACAATTGATTCGTTTGAGCCGTGCATTACGAAAAAAACGGCCGGAATACGAGCAAAGACATGATAAAGTTATTCTTCTGCATGATAACACTCGGCCTTATGTCGCAAAAGTCGTAAAAAATTATTTGGAAACGCTCAAGTGGGATATTTTACCGCACCCACCGTATTCGCCGGACATTGCTCCTTCTGATTACTGGTTGTTCCAAAGGATGCAGCACGATTTGGCAGGTCACCGGTTCACTTCTTTCGCGGAAATCGAAAATTGGCTCCTAACTTGAATCGCCTCTAAAGACGAGACATTTTTTCGAGATAGAATTCGAAAATTGCCTGAGAGGTGGGAAAAGGTAGTAGCCAGCAATGGACAATACTTTGATTAATCTGTTAATTCATTTTGTTCTGAAATAAATGCATTTTTGACCAGAAAAAACGGATCGAACTAATTTGTACTCCCAATATTTTAGAGTCGTTGTGCGCGATTACTTGCGTATGTGAGTCAATTGTATGGTCAGTCGAGAGAGACCGTTATTAGCTCGGTGCATTAATTGAAATAATTTGTTTAACGTGCTTTTAACACCAACTTAAGCGAAATCACGTTGCGTTTCATCTAGATTTTCGCATGGACAGCGGAAACTGTCAGCCCCGAATGCAATTTCGTTCCGCTTCCAGCGCGAACGGATGAGATTTTCTGAGTGAGTCTCTAGTTTTTAAGTATGTTCCTAAATAATTGGATCCTTAAAATCTCATTTAGAGTCGCTAACGCGTCTCCGGCAAGGGGCGAGCGATAAAAACAATGCCAAATTACTTCGATACGACGCCGCACGGTGCTAATTAATGCAAATTAGATTCTCATTACGTTGCATTAAAACACAGATGTTTGTCGTCGTGTGAAGAAAAAGAAGAAAAAGGAAAGGAGAAACGTGAGGCTGATCTTTCTCATTGAAGAAGAAAAACGTTTATCCCGGGACATCCTGTAGATTTTTAAACAATAACGTTTGGGAATCGTCAGGATCGTCACTGTAGGATGGTTAACTACCGACATCTTAAAACTGCCAATGATATACGCATCAAGGTTGATTTTGACGTCAATTCACCGGCGGAATCGCGTTTATCTTGCGATCGGGCTTTCAGTCAGTTAACGACGCGATAAAAGTGCGATGGTTGCCTGAGCGATGCGCACCGTCGGCTCGCCTGATGGTTAATTCTGCTAGTTAATTAAATCAACAATATTCGCCAGTTCTGTATAGCGATACGCGTTCAGCCGGCAACTGACGCGCACGAGTGTATATGCATGCGTTAATTATAGGATAATGAAAATTCGATGGAAAAATTTACGGAATTCTCGCACGTACGAATGTTCGACCTTACGCCGCGTAATTCAAAGCAACGTAAATTAGATGACGACTTTCTGCGAAATTGCCGCTGTTACAACTATGAATTTCGCGTTATTTCATCTTCTCACCGAGGTTTATCGATTGTACCTACCGACAATGCCACATTGTTCATAATACCTATTATAGTTGTCTATAAACGATAGACTAGCGTACAAAGATCCCAGCTGACGTCACGCTACGAGGACCATTGTATCTTCATGAGTGGGACGCGATAGGGACGAAAATACTATCACGGCAGTCTCGTTATCTGAACGCGTCGATGTTGATCAAGTGCGCATTGTCTAAGTCTAATCATTTGCGTTAAAAAAAGAAGCTTCCTCTTAATTGACTTTATTGTTATCCTTGACAGATGCGGATTAGTTTATCCGCCTACCTGATTGGCAAACAGTTGCAATGATTTATTTCATAAATTATCTTAATAGACTGTCACTACTTATCAATTAGGCGCCGAAATAGAATCCTCGATCCTCGGTTAGAGCGCATTGCTCTATCTTCGACTTTCAAATTCGAAAAATTACATGTTAAAATGCAGTACTTTAGCGAGATTTCTTTAGCTATCGCACAGTTTCGCAGGAGCAAAGTGTGAGAAAAGTCGTTGGAGTTTGTACGAACTGCGAGAACTTTACCGCGATGGTCGTCTCGTATATCTGCCGTTTGTTTGGCGCGTCTTTAGAAGTCAAGGAAAGGAACGTTCTTCCCTTCCTTCCGTCGGGACGTTAGATTGCCTCATTAATCAAAGAATTCACATTGATTAAATTGACGAAGAATATCTTACCCACCGAAATTTACCTCGGCTCTATTTGATTTCTTCCGGATATCGCGGATATGTGTGCGCTTTTATCGAGAGAGAGAGAGAGAGAGAGAGATCCAATTTGCGCGAACATCTGCGACTATTCCTCGTAGCTTGCAAAGATAATCGCTAGAGTGGATTACTTATTCGCACACGGTGTGTCGCGTGAGCTACAATTTTCCTTCTATATTTATGACCTTGTCTTCGTCTATGCTGAGTTCCGTAACGAGAAATCGCGCCATCTTTTTGAAACTTTGTCGCGGAATGTTGACGTACTCGCACGGCACTTTCAATCTGATAATATTTCAACGGACCTTATGTCCCCGCCGGAAAAGTGGTTATGACTTTCTCAGACGCGTTTAAGGCCAGCGTAAAATACAGGATTCGTCGTTTAAAAGCACGAGAGCTCGTCGCTTTTAAATAATTTCCCACGCTCGTCGCACGCAATCTGTGCTCTTCATAAGCAAAGTCGCCGAATTTACGAGATAAATGCACCGACTGATCACGGTTTGTTGAAGGATTTGATAAGGGACTCGCAATCTCTTGGGTAACGAAAGTTCACCGTAAGATCCGCCAATTTTCCTATCATTGCTATTCTATTATTAAAATCTGTCGAGAAGATGTCATAATTCTTTCGCAAATTAAACATATGTTCTGCACGCATTTCAGTTTCCCCCTATCGAAGGATGACGAATGAAAGAAAAAATCGCGCGATGATTCGAGATTTTTTATTCGTTTGCATCTTGTCCCGCAAAATGCGATCCATTAAAGTTACCACCGTTACGTTAATAATGCAGAATTTGCGAGATTCCAAAGTCTCTTTGTCACTATCGCTGTTCCTCGCTTTCCCGCAATGTCAGACGAGCTTTGAGGTGCGCATAACGGTCACATTAATTTTATTACGAGTAGAACATCGCAGCCAGGTATTTCCTCTCGTCGTGAATCTTCCATCGGAGAGAGAGGTACGTAAATATTCGATCTTTCCGCGAGGTTGTCGCTCTGATTACGACGAACGCGCGAGATATGGTAAATCGCGAGAAAAAATATTCACAAGAGCCGCTCTCGATTTCGCGCGAATTTCAAGTAGGCAAATGGACATGAAACGAGACGCGGCTGTAACAGAAACTTGAAGCCGCCGACGAATTTGTCCACATATAAAATGAGGCATTTCTCAGCG